GCGCTTCGGACTCTACCTGTTCGTCAAGTGAGCTTGTTTAAAACATCGCGTAAAAATAGCTAAAATCGTAGGATTGATCTTCTGGAAATATATCACAAAATGTGTATTAAGTAAACCTTATCGAATGGTGTCGAATGGTGATTATCGCAAATACGAAAAAAAAGTCTTAAGTTTCTTAATTAGTTACACAGAAAACAAACTGAAATAGATTTCAAGGTAGATTTTCCTCAGACATGGCACATGTAGAAGACGCCTAATTACTAAAGGTATAAAGCCAAATCGAATGACAGTGAACGTATCGTAAAACTACGCTAGAAGCGCGCGCAGATTGTAGGCTCGCGTGCGCGCGCACGTGGTCGGCCATACATTCAGATCGGCGCCCACGCATTTGCATTCAATCCCATCTCAATTGAAACGCATCAACTGGCTGTGAATTGATATCGTTATAAGTACTCTGATAACCAGAGAGAAATCAGACGAACATTTTTCGGACACGTGATGTGTCAGTTTTGAATGTATCGTTGAAGATTAATTCTAAATATGTATACATGAATTTTAACAATTTTCAGACACAGTCTACCTAATCGCGAAAGATAAACTAAATAATCTCTATAAAAAAAGATACCTTCTAAAGTTAACACCACGATATACATACTTGTTTGTACAACTTTACCCGATTGTTTACGATTGTTAAATGTTGAACAGTTTATAATCTACGGCGTAAAATAACAATTCGATCTGCTACCGATCGTCGGTGTTCGTTCACGTGTTGGCGTACACGTGAGTCGTAGGACATGTTGATTCATGGATAAAGAGACAGTTCATGACATAACAGTTTAGAGAAGTCTCCACACATGCTAAAGTGTCTTGTACTTAAATCTTATCAATAGTTAATGTACTCGGACCCTTAATGTACTAGCTGAGTGAGTGTGACATTAGAACATAAGTGGTAAAAGGTTTTAGCCCATCACCCAAAGTACCACTCGTAAAAACAAATGTTCAAGATGAATGTTCTTAAAATGTGAACAATTTATAGTCTTTCGCAGATATGTACTAAACAGTTTTTTAGCTTAGTAATTGTCGAAGTTTTTGTGTAGTTCCATTCCATCCATTCTCATGGCCAATACTAATAGATTAGTTGAAATGTATTAGAAATGAAAAGAATCAATAAATCTTGTCCTGAAACTTTGCAGACTTTTAATTTGGACCGATGCAGCGAGTTTCACAGGTACGAGATCTCGGAGTTATCATGACACCAGACTTAACATTTCGGGAGCACATTACTAGGGTGTGTAAAAAAGCGTATAAAAACCTAGGGTTTGTACTGAGGCAGACGCAGAGATTTAATAAAATATCTACGCTCAAGGTACTGTATGATGCTATAGTCAGAAGTCACCTTGAGCATAATGCGATCATTTGGTCTCCACACGAAACGAAGTACAGTGTCATGTTAGAGCGAGTACAAAACAAGTTCACAAGGCACCTGTACTTTAAACTGTATGGAGTATACCCTTTTTACCCCTTAATGTACCCGACACTTTTCGTACTTGGTATGGTCGGGTATAACGAGCTAAGAGTACGCAGGGAATTTACTCTGGCTTCTTACGTGGTGAAGTTATTACGGGGTACAGTCCATAACCCGGGAGTGCTACGCTACCTGAAGTTGTGCGTACCTGACCGGTACGTGTGGAGGCGACGCCGTCCGGCACTGCTCGCCATCCCTGATACTAGAACCAACCTGCTGGCCAAGACCCCGATCACTCGAAGCATTCGCGTAGTGAACGAAGTTCATAGCCGCGTTGATATATTTTCGGGTAAAACGAGTGATCTCACACAAGTTTTACTCCACATATGTACATATAATAACATTTTATCTCACTGATGTAAGTGTGCTTTTATTTTTCTTTTATTTCTTATAAAGATTTTTAATGTTAGTGTCAGTAGATTTCTTTTATGTAGTATGTGTTTAAACGATGTAGGTTACCTAAGTAAAATAGTGTTTAAGACTATTCACTTTATAATTTTAAGAATGTTTAGGAATTAAGTTTGATATTTGTTTATTACCTTACCTTTTAGTATTTTTATGTTGTTGTTTATTCTTTGTGATTGTTTAAATTATAGTGGTAAGTATACATTAAATAATTAGATTATAAGTTCTTACTTTTGTATTTTGTAAGACTGATGGCTACACTATCGAATTGGATTTTATCTGTAATGATGGTTGTTAGTGATGTAAATAAATAAATAAATAAATAAATAAATTTGCTGTTTACTGCTAAGAGGACATTGACACATTATTTAATATAAATACGATTTATGAAGCATCTAAGTTCACAATCAGTAAAGCATCTTAAACTTATAAAATCTTGTAATTTATATGAATTTATAACAAAATTTTTTGACAAACGTAAACACGTTTTTATCAAATTAATTCTGCGTGGGGTGCGATGGAAGCGATCTGGCACGTTTCCAGATAACTGCGATAGCGTAAGCGTACTTGAAGTTTGTTCAGCCAGTTTTTTCATAACAGTCATGCCAAATCCTTTTAAGACTCCTAGACAACACGCGTGTTTTCAGAGAATGACTCATTTTTAATATTCACACAATGTTGTATCAATAATATACTATTCTTATTTAGTATGCGACTAGGAGCTGACTCTGCGGTAATAATACAGCGCCCGAAATTCTGCACCAATGTCACGCAATTTTACGAGACAATATTGATCTTTTGCTCTGTAGTAAAATTTGTAAGTCAGCGCGTATGAAACTCGAATCCACGTGCTAATTAGCTTTTGCCACGAATAAAGACTCAAATATTGTCATTGCCTTCTCAATAAACCGAAAATACTGACCTTGTAATAAAATTTAATTTAACATCTCGATAAGAATTTAAAAAACTTCTTTGACTCCTCACTTTAACATCTTATCTCGTTAAGCTCCCGAAATTCTTGCATGAAGAAACACGCATATTAAAGTAGCCTCGAGTGTTTTTAAGATGTTCCCATCAATTTTTCACGATGAAATGTCGACCTCATTTTTTCTAAGTCTACATTATACTTAGACGCTCTCGTTGCTTATCTTGATAAAATCTATAATCCAAAGAGCTCGGAGGAGTACATTACGTCGAACAGGATTCCCAAAAGTGGTGTTGTCTTTATACGATTCATTTATATTTCACACAGAACGTAGGCTTTACATCTTCCTTGCTATATCGTTAGTAATTTATTTAAACTACGACCTTACTCCTGCAAAATGGTTTCTATATTTAGGACCAAGCTTGTTACGACTACCAGGTTTCAACTTAATGAATTTAGCGCTTCTGAAATGTGGGCTAGGTATCTCAAACATCCCTTTTTATGTTTCTATTTATTTCCTGTATCAGTTACTCATAATATGACATACTAAACGAGAAAAATTTTAAAAGCATATTTCCATCAACGGTAGTTTTAAAGCTATTTGTTAGTCAGCCAGTATTTCTTATAAGACTCATGAACGTGCATATGCTGGAAAGGTCGTGGCATTGAAAACTGGGGGAGGTGATAAATGGCTTACCGGCTCATGGGTGTTCTCCCTCCGGCCATTAACTTTAAGAAAATAACTTCTCTTATGTGTTAATACTAAAAAAAATCAATATTATGAGTGTTCCACTTTAATGTTTTAACGGAACTTTTAAAGATTGGTAAATACTCATTCGTAAATCTTTTCAAAATATCCTTACTGTGGAATTAAAAAGTTCCAAGGATATTTATTTAGGCTCGAAGTACCCAATCACGAATCATCCCACTTCAATTTCTCGAATAGAGGCCATGAGTATTTGCTCTTAGATTTTGGACACAAGGCAATTACTACAAGAATACGATCGCAAATTGTGCATCGATTTTCCATTTTGAACCCAAATTGGATCCTTGCTTTCATTTATAACATATTTTGGGATGTCGTTTCAAAAGATGGAGCCATTTTTCCATTACAAATTCAATTTAGTCTTTATTTGCTTTGTGATATTTTCGTATCAATACGCCCTGGCATGGTTTGTAAAAAGCTATCGAAAGAGTCGTAATGACGTCGAAAGCTTTCAAAAGACAGGCCGGTCAGACTCTTAGTAAGCGAAAACTGCCCTTTGTGAGCTAAAATGGGTACAATGAAGTTTATTGCTATTCAGAAGCTTAATTAGGCATCTCTTGTCTAGTTCAAATTAATAAGCAAGGTCACCTTAAGTCTGCATTGAATTTTCATCGCCCTTTACCAATCGCTCGCCCTCGACTGGGCTAAATAAATATTTTTCATCTTTATTAAAAATACGAACGAAAGCTATTTTTAGATCTAAGTAATAGAAATTTTCTTTCAACATTTATTGAGCAGAATTTCGTAAGATAATATTGAAATGAAATATTACTGTTATGAATGGTAGGCTTCTTTCAATTGCGTCGTGTTTTTCCAGAAACTCGGTTGCATAATGCAATCAATTAAACATTGATTGTGACTTGATCGTGTTTGATGTTTGGCGTCGGACGGCTGACTCTGATAACCCTGTCCGTTCGCCTTTCTTATTGAGAAGTCCTTCATACATACATCGTGTTCAACACTTAACTAAAATTATCTTTAAATGAATCTCAATTCAAAACGACGTTTTTAAGAAGGATACGGACAAGGCATATTAATGAGACCCAAATACTACTCAGTACTGAAGTTCATACCCTCTCGAACTAACATATTCTATGCATATAAATATTACTTCTAGTTTCTAACACGACAGAATCCTTAGAGATGTTATTTATTTACCAACTTACCTAAGGAGACAGGGTCGATGCCCTGGATGTCTCATGAATTATAATTTTCTCATTATCGATCCTTAAATAGACGCGATTCTGCAAAAATATTTATTATCAAATGTTTTTCAAAAGATTTGTTTGTTTTCTTGAGAAATTATTATTATCTACATTGAATTTCAGTTTTTGGTACGTTGCTTTTCAAATTCTTAATATGTTCTCTTGTTGTTACAGTTGACGAGAAGATATTCTGCTGCCATGGCGGCTTATCTCCAGACCTGCAAGCTATGGAACAGATCCGGCGGATCATGAGGCCGACTGACGTCCCTGACCAGGGCTTGCTCTGTGACCTGTTGTGGTCTGACCCTGACAAGGATACCGCCGGATGGGGAGAAAATGATCGTGGTGTCAGCTTTACATTTGGAACTGAGGTGAGAGAACTGAAAATAATTCTGCTATAGGTAGCGTACATATAGTATTCGGATCTCTAGGGATTTTTTTATTAAGATCTTCAACAGCCAGTGACAATCCACTGCTGGAGTATTGGCCATCATGTATCATATTCCGAGGTCGTTAAAGATCGCGACTTTAAGGTTCAAGTATATCAAACCTATCCTGTCTTTAACAAAATCTTTAGGAAGAGAAGGTAATATTTTACCCAGATGTAAACTTCAGGTAAAGGTGCCTTAGAGCAGTAAAGTACTTTTGTCTAGGAAGAATTCATATTACTCCTATTCCGTTGGCGACTCCAATAACTCGACTACGAGTCAAACGTTTCCTATTGCCGTAAATATAGAAAAGGGTCGGCAACACGATTCCTCTGATATTACAAACATCAATAGGCTATCTGCAACGGTGTCTCCTTTCTATTTGAGGGCTCGCAAACTTTTTCTCCACATCACTATAGTACGTATAAGAAAAAATGTCCTGTTTTCAGATCTTATGGTTCTTTTATTTCTTTGCATCTAATTTTATACGATGATCTGTGTACCGTAAATACGTGTCTAATTAATAGATTATTTTGTTAAGGCCAAATAAAAGTACGATCATTAATCTTGATCAATCTAGGTCGTTACACTGAGACCTAATTAATACAAGAATCTTAAATTTACACGAACCTGAACTAATAAGCGACAATGGAACGGCTGCGGCAAGTTTTATGATCCAATAAAACGGTTTCTGAAATGTAAAAGCTTAATACTCAACTCGCGACGGGCGAATAATTCCAACGGGAAGCTTCTTCGGTCTCATGTCGGCATCCACGTGCCATTTGAAACCCAGTATGTGAAATAACATATAATACAAATACAGTTCGCCCAATCGAGATCAAGATTTAACGAAATATTTTTGCGTTTGAAGTTTTTGGTTCATATCTGCTTTAAGTATTGTTCGTAAGGCTATGTTAAAGATTTTATAGGTACTAACCATATTTTCTCTTTGTTTTGACTCGAAATACTAATACTATTTATAAAAGTGGCTGTCGTAGCGTATGAAGATATCGTAATCCAAGCAAATTCATTATGCAATTCATACTAAAACAACGGGCCCTTTTTCATTTAGTATAACTAGAAACAAAACAAGGGGTAGTAATCTCGGGACACATCAACCTTGTCAAATTAGGAAGAAAACTCAATCGATTTTAAACTCTGTTAAAATAGGCTAACTAAAAATTTGTAGGAAATGTTCATTATCAACGCGTACAGTGTCGCGTCCGCGTGGCTGACCTCTACGCACTATCACAGTCTGCCACTGATTATACTATTTATGTTTGATATGAAACTAGAACCAGAAACCTAGGCATGTCTTACCACGTGCTGGTAGTCAGAATAACACCATAATGCAGGAAATATCGATAAATCTAGGTGTAAAGGAATAAAAAGTACTAAGAAGAAAGAATGGAGTATACTATGTTCTGTGCAAACGCATAATAACGGCCAAGAACATAACACGTGATGTAATATCTCTTTTCAAACTTAAACCTAATAGACACAATCAATATGTATCCTATAAAATTTTCATTCGTACGGTAAAAGTCTTGTGTGAGATTTACAATCTAATGTTAAAGACATTCCTTACGTGTTTGTCTGTATTTATGGACACGGTTATCTAAAAACTATGGACTAGATTATCGTCAAGAATTTTAGTTTTAACCACGGCAGCGAAGCAACGACCGCAATGCTAGTGCTAGTTTTCGGTATTATAATGTTCATACTAAAAATATCTTTATTAATATTTCCAGGTGGTAGGCAAGTTCCTATCGAAGCACGAGTTTGACCTGATCTGCCGCGCGCATCAGGTCGTGGAAGACGGTTATGAGTTCTTCGCCAAGAGGCAACTGGTCACCCTCTTCTCGGCGCCCAACTACTGTGGCGAGTTCGATAACGCCGGTCAGTATTACTTCTAAACCATGTTGCAAATCTCTCCAAATAAGTTATATATAAGTAATAAGATTTACAGATTCCTGCACAAAATCACAAAATTATTATTATTGATTTGAGTTAGACTTGCGGTAGAGAAAGTTTTGTTTGTTACTCTTTAGACTACATTTTCTATCGTAACTTTACTTGACGACATTGAATAGTATATTCAACAAAGTTACTGCTACAAAATTAACAATTTTAATTTATTTTTATTTTAAATTGCAGGAGCCCTCATGTCAGTGGACGAGACACTAATGTGCTCGTTCCAGATCCTAAAACCGGCCGACAAACGCAAGCTTTACTCCGGCCTCAACATGGGCCGGCCCAACACGCCGCCCCGCGCACAGCCCAAGAACAAAAAGAAGTGAGTCCTCACACATACACAGAACTGTTGCACTAACAATGTACACATGCACCAAGTAGTAAGAATGTTGTGCTCAGACTCTACTTAAAAAATAACCAATTAAAATTCAACAAAATGACGCGACATTTTTTCTTGACCAGTAAGAATTGTGTTCATTTATGAACATTGAACACTACATACTTACTACTCTATGTAAACAGTAATACGATGGAAATTATAGGGAAAATAAGGGTGTCAGTTTGGTAATAGGGCATGGTAATAGAAAGGTACAGGCTACCGACGTGACGGGTCGTTATTGGCAACGACCCTACGAATTGACGGGTGTGCGGGTGACCTTCGATATGTAAATTATTTCATTAGAGCTGTCTCATGTCCCTCAATACACTGGATTGTTATTAGATCACATGAACAGTTCGTTCGATCGATTGCCAACTAGGACGATCTCTTTTTGATCTCGAGGTGGTGAGTCAAATTCTACTCGTCAAATGAAAATAATGTTGAGCGCTGCACTTTTCGCCACGCTTCTGTTTTACCTACTCTGTGCATCAAGTCACTAGTACTGCCAAATTGACTGGTTTACGCTGTGTTGCCAGATAACAAAAGAAATTATTCCCAAATTCAGTTGATTATTTTTTATTATTACAATATCATTGCTATATTGCCAGACTATGCCAAATTTAGTTTTATTGAGAATGAATTGAATTGGTTATAATTATGTGAAATTGTATGCGAATAAATAGTTGATAAGATATGTAATGCTAACAGCTGGGGCTTTAAAATGTAAGTGTAATAATTAAGTGACGTGTAAAAATAAAAGCATTCCCCATTTAATACGGTAGTTTGAATTTTTCGTAAATAAACCTTAGAATTGGACACACCCTACTCTTTATAATTGGAACTTAACATCTGGCAATACAGACTCTTACACACACAGACAACTACATTAATACATGACACCTATTTAGCAAGATATGATAAATCTATAATGGTGGTGGCTTAATCGATGATGTACCTATCTCTTGCCCAATTTGCTTTAGAAGCATTTGGTTATTTTCCTTTTTATCCAATATCACATAATTTGTTTCATTTTTTAGTGTATTTGTCTTAAATACTTGTTCAATATCAGGTTTCTATCTGATGTTGTTTTGAAAATATTTAGATTTTTTTGTTTGACAAAATAGTAATAATATTTTTTTTGCAACCACAGAGATATTATTTGAAGCAGCCCCACGTTAAAGGTACCAAAATGTGTGCCGTCTATGCATCTTGCCATGTATTAACAAAAGCATATTTTTTAACTGGTAACATTCACCAGTGTTGTGTTAGTTGCACAAAACTTAATGCCTAACAAATACATTTTTTTATTATAACAGATGTTTGTAGTATTTAATTACAGTGTTATTCATTAAATAAATTACTATTCTATTGATGGATAAAATCTTCCTATAGGGTCGGTTTTTATGAATAATGGGATTCGATCTGAGTCTAATTTTCTAATAGTTCATTCTGAATGTTATACAAAGTGAATGTTTGAGAAGTTGTTTTCTAGAATATTGTTGATTTATGTTGTTATGTCGTGTTATTATCAGTAAGGTCAGTCATTATAAAATGTTCTATCGTTTCTAAGCATGTTTTGAACCATTGGTGGCGCGAAAAGTATATGTATAGATTCAATTAATTCAATAGCCATTGATATTCTGCTGAGTAATGGCCCTAATCTACATAAAGGTTTGTCAACATCTTATTTCGTGCATTAGAGAATGCTGCTATCTGGTGTTTGTCTAATATACAGACCCTAATATCCTTTCGTCGATTGAAATGGATAAGGCAATGTCCAAATCATCTCGCCATCACCCAAAGGTCGACCTTTAGACAGCCTGAAGCGTTGAGTCAACCTGTATATGTTTTTTATGTATTAATTTGTTTAATATAAGTTTAAAAAATCGCGCCGCCAATTTCATTTTACAAACTTCGTCTTAGCCATGGTCTAGAAATCCTTTATTGTATACCATGTCATCTATTGGATTTGTACCAAACAGAATTAAGATTCTTATATCAAAGAAATGGATCTGTATTAATAATAATAATTATGTTAATTGAACATTCCTGTATCAAGTTGTATGACATCATCTCACGTATTGTTTTGTGTTTGTTCCCGATGGCCAGTTAATCGCCCCACCCTGCGCCCGCGCCGCTCTGCCGTCGACTCGCATGGACTCCCACGTACCTACTTGTTACCTACCTTTTTAAACGTATATTCGAAGACAGCGATAAGGAAATCACAATACTTTGCTAGTACTAACTTCCATTGCGCGTTTTCTACCGTCTTCTGTTCAATATTAAGTTTTAAAACGCGCAATGGATTTAAAATTTATTAGCTAATTTGGTTGTTTCATTTTTCAATCGCTGATTATGAATGGTTTATCGAAAATTCCTTACTCGTCTGTCTTCCTTAGCTAAATTACAGTTAAACACTGTTTTTATTCTAAATTATTTTGTTAACAATATTTCAGCTCTCTTATACAGGTGTTATAAAAATAACGAAGCGAGTCCAAATTGATTGTTTACTTTGTTTTAAAGTAAGAAGTTTTTGTTAACTTTAGTAACAGCTAGTTTTACGTATAAGGACTGCAAGGAAAGTAATTCCTGTTTGTTATGTCGCCCGTGAACTTGCTTCGTTTTTTTTTCTACATATAAATTTTATTGAAAGCCAGCAACTGTTACAAAAAATATATTATTTGCTAGTTGTCTCGGTTGATTTTTGAGCGAAAAATTGAAATGTTTTTTGTTTCTTGTATGCTGTTGGCTTTCATATGTAATGTAGTTGCTGCACATTGAAATATTGACCAATTGCTGGACGATTGTGTCCCTCGGACGGGTGCGATAGGGAACTTCATTACATCACCAATAAATTGACCGAATAAACTCGGCCTCATTCGTAATAGCCAATAGTTATGTAGTATTCACATGATCAACTTACGACCACATCAAAACAATGCAATTTTATAACACGAATAAGTTTCAAGAGGTTACAGCGTCTTTGTATGTTTTTATAATAAAATTAGACTGTTCAGTTCTCGGCTTTGGGCTTCCCGTGGGCGATTTACTTGTGGACGGATGCACTTGTATGCCGCGTAATGATAATGTCTGTGCAAATGCGTGTACGTATGACTGGCTCCCAGAATGCTTGTGTCGTTATCAATATTCAAACAATTAATGTAAGGTAGCCCACGACCGCGGCTACAGTCTCGACGACAGCAGCGACATTTTTGTCGCAACCTCTTTTTTATTGAGATTATTTCAACACTGTTTGAACATTGGAACTGTAGTCGCGTCGTGTCGCAGTAAAATTTAACGATGACAGAATAATTAAATGATGGAAATATTGGAAGTATGATAAGTAGTAAGCATAATTGTAACGAAGCTGTAGTTTGTTGGTAAATATAATGAACAAATTGCGCCCACTGTATGTGACCCATTTGGTTTACGATACGCGATGCTAAAATATTTTAACGGTCTCTATAAACGTTTCCTAATCATATGACAAATACGTACATTCCCACACAAGGGCAAGTCTTGTTATAAGGAATGATCTAGAATTAAATTGTAATTACTTGTAAGTTTCATATAACTTTTTAAGTAATAAATTCTATGTCAAGTAGCAAGTGTTTATATCCCAGTAAATGTAGGATTAATTATCTCGCCATGCATTTACAGTGCCCGATTGACGACACGAATCGGCTTTATACAGTTTATTTTTGTAACAAGTAAAATCACCAGTCAAATGTAACGAATAGTAATTTAATTGGTTAGAATTAATTAGGAACCGATTAGTTAGCATTTATATAGGAGCCAAGTGGTCAATCTGTGGGCGTATTAGTTGTAAAGGTTACACCGTCCCCTCAGGCCGGTCAATAGGACTATTTGTAGCATTGCTTTGTCGCCGTACTCCTTATGCGATCCTAGTTCGCACTATGCTTCGCGCGAATGACGTGGTTGCTTACATATGTTTTAATTATCAACCTACTAATTTAACCGTTGGTTACTACAAAGATCTTAAATATCTCGATCGGTAGAGAGTAAAAACTTTTTATGTACCATGAAATTTACATCGTAAAACATGAAATAATAAACTGATTTTCGATTTTGAAATCAACGGTTACTTTCGTCAGTGTTGCCTAACTCCACCGATAGTTACCATAATGGAAAAATTAAAAAGGTCGCATAAGAGTAACGGGAATAAAGGAAGATTTTCTTTTATTTAATTGCTATTGAATGTGTTAGACTGATACCCGCGGCTGACTGCCGATCAAATTGAATCATTGATCTATGTATGAAAAGAATTGTATATTAATTTCTTAAATAAAATACTTCTGAAAATTGTACTTTTTTATTTATTGTGACCCTTACACTCTAATATACATATACTATACGTATAGTGTCAAAAAACAAAATTTCTGTTATTATAAATATTTCAAAATAATTTTTTTTCTACTTTTCATTGACATTCACTAAAAGTGTGTAGTAAGAAAAAGAAGTCTTGATGATCTGAAACAAAACAGCACTTCATCAAAAATTACCATTTACAATAATCAGTAATATTTTTTTCCAATAGCAACACTTAAAAAATTTTGCCCCACCAAAAATACTTACAACAACAAAAGTATGTAAGTCCATAGGTAGGAACTTGCCAGCTCTGACAACTACTGGCCTTCTGTTAGCCAATAGAATGTTGAGGAGTACCTTCCGAGGACGGATGCCCATCGTATGCCACATGCTTTGGTAAGCTGCTGTCGAGACGCGGTCGGCCTGAGGAGAGATTTCGTTGAGTAGATATTTATTGATGGAGACTAATAAGAACAAATAGGAAAAGAAACTACACAATTGCAATTTCAAAGCCAAATAGATCTATTCTCAGATTGATTTTGAAATTGTGATACTGTTAAAAACTTGACTTAACAAGACAGTCTCATTGGCTCAATCAGATGATTGTAGGGATTGATGATTGAGTTGGTTGTTGCGGTGAAATAAAGGTTCTTATAAGCATACCTGCAAAATGATCTGGTTTCCATAATAACAGTATACAAAAATGTCCAAAGCCACAGCCGCCAAATACTCCACTGTTATCATATCGAATTTCTGTACAAAGCGGTCATTATTTAAATTAAAAAATGAAATACATGTTCATATAGTGAAGTTCTAAAATAAATCCTCAATTTTTGCCACGCCACTTATGGGCTGCTAGCATCGGGCTTCATTTCAGGAAAATAATAGGAGCGGGAATGTCATTTTTTTTTATGTAGTAGTAAGTGATCAGCGTCCTGAAACGCCCGCAACAATAACCGGTGCCGACCTTTTGGGGATTGAGCCTCCGGTAACCTCACTCACACGGCAAAACACGACGCTATTTCCGAGTTACTTTCTATGATTATTTAGACGCCACTGACATACGGTGAAGGTAAACATCGTGAGGAAACCTGGACTTATAATTTCTAATTATAAGTTTGAAATCGCCAACCCGCATTGAGCAAGCGTGGTGATTAATGCTCAAACCTTCTCCGTGTGAGAAGAGGCCTTTGCTGAGCAGTGGGCACTTATAGGCTGACGATGATGTAGGGGGTAATCTTTAGAACCGCTGCGGTCGGATTGCCAAAATTATATCACTGATAGATAGCTTCAATGTTCCTGAGTGCTATAAGCTATAAAACATCACGCTACGATTAAATGGAGTCGAGCAGCGGGTGAAACCGCGCGCGAGTGGCTATATTTAATAAGTTGGTCCACCACTAAATTCATCGCACCCTATCTCCTTCAATCAAGAAAATATGGTTTTGGAGGCATGTTAAATCTCACTCTCCCCAGTCTCCCGAAAACCGCCTCTTATAGGATTCTCTTACCAGGGTAGCAGCATACAGCAGAGTGCAAAGATACAGAGTGACTTGCACGACTCTTAGGGCCAGCAGCGGTGACACGAAGCTCTCGAACATTTCTTTATACTTGTTCACAACCTGACATAAAGATGCACAGTCCCGAAGAGCTTCCATCGTTGCGTCATCATAATCTGGACTGTAGATGTCTATAATAAAAGAAATCATTTCGATAATGTTAAGACCCTCGTCCTTTCTATCTAGGTGGATAAAATAATTAATATCAATTTATAGGAAGGTGCACGTTGACTTTCTCGTTAGATGCTAAATGTCGTTTATGCACTAGGTGACTGAGGTAATAAGTTTATCTAGAAGACAGCTGGATAGACAAATAAGTTACAGCGGCAAAGCGAATTGGATATGCTTAAAAATTAACTTACCAAAGTGAGTTTTAACATCTACATAGTTGTGTGTCTGAAACAAACATAATATTGTCAGAATTAATATATGGGTACCTATAAGTATTTTTATAGGTCACGAACGACTCGTGGTCCATGCCCAACTTTTTGGGGATTAGGATTTTGGAGATTTAGGGATTAGGGGAAGGGAAGGATGGGTCCTGCGGTAATCTCACTGACAAAATGAAACAACACTATGGTTGTTTCGCGCCGGTTTTCTGCAAATCCCTTGTTATATTATTATTCTAGTAAATCTTAAAATACGGATGTTAAATATTACAACTAACCAACTAACTAGTACCTATATAAAGATAAATTACCACTTACCACCCTATCATCATAATGATAAGCGGATTCCTTTATTTCAGCGATATTGTAGATATAATTATGATCCTCGTCCCTTTGTATATCGGAATGCGTGGCAACCAATGCTGCATGCTTCACTCCTCGTTGCAGTAACGCGGTGTAGCGCGCGTTGCGAAGGCTACAACATAGCAGGTCAAGCTGGCCGCAGATCAGGATCGAATTTGATGCGAAGAACACTCCTGTTGAATGAAATAAGGTATTTTCTGAATGTTATCATCATCATTGCCAGCCTATAAGTGACCACTGCTGAGCAAAGGCCTCTTCTTCCATGGAGAAGTTTGAGCATTAATCACCTGGCTTGCTCAAGGCGGATTGTTGATTTTTTCTTTGTCAACATAGATTAACAACGGCGGGTGGACCGGAGTTTGTCAATGGTGTCTACATACATATAATAGATAAAAAGTACATATGACTTAGAAAAAAACACACTAGAACTTGCCAAATTTCGTGTCTGCACTCTCATGCATGAGAATGAAGTGGAAGCTTAACCTCCGGCCACCACGACATTGACTAAATGTTATAGGATCCAAGTATGTATAAGTACTTATTAGAAAATTGTTTAGCAAATTCATCCTCACTTTAAACTTATAAAACTAGTCTTCTTTGTTAACGATTCATTTACACAGCATAAAAACGTAGTTGCTAATTGCAATAGAACTTACCGAACTGCCCCATAGCGAGTCCAACATACATCTGCGCTAAACAAGACAGGAGAAACACAAACTCGAAGAATGGAGGTTGAGTTACATCCATATAGATCCAGCTCTGGATTGGTTCTTTTGTCCACACTAGAAATAAATAAGACAATAACAATGCTGGCAGCATAGTTAACTGACTTGATTACAATTTTTATAGTATTTTTTTGAAAATACTATAAAAATTGGAACTTGGAAAAACCGCAACAGAAAGGGAGAATATCGCCCAGTACACTGGAACAAACTTAACAGATTGTTCGCTTGTCCCTATTCTAAGCAAAATCTATAATAATCTACTTACAATGAACAATAACAGGCAACGTCGCATACATAGTAACACTGAACATGGTACACGCCGTGTAAATTCTTCCAAACCGTCGCGCCGTCATGCAGCTTTGCTCCATGGTCATATTCGTCAGCCCCCGAGCCGAGTGGTACTTGAAGTTCGTATCTAAATAATTCAGCAACTCGTACAAATCGCGCCGATATATCGCATAATAAGCCACGATTACTAGGGAAACTAGGAGAGGCAGTGCATCAGCAATCGTCCCCAAACTAGACATAATATCCTGCCATTCTGTATACAAATGGACGGTTAAAACCATCGGTATGTGCGTCAGAACAAACAATACTATTCCGAGATAAATATCGTTAAAAATCTTTCGGTTTTCTGTAGCAGAATTCGGGAAGAAGTCCCAGCAGGCTACTAACTTCAAAGGCTTTTCTATATAATGAATGTAGTGCTTTGGCTTCACTGAATTCAGTGTTGTTTTTGTATTGGCGTCCATTTTAAATGTTTCTACTTTCGTCTTAATTCTTATTAAGTTTCCTAACGTTTATTCCTTTTGTGTCGGTGTTTCAAGTTATATCCGTTCGCCTGTTCTAAAGGTGCTTTCACATGACAGCTCTCAGATTTATTTCTTACTAGCGGCCCGACCCGGCTTCTTACGGGTCAAAACATCCTCTTCAATCACTCTATTAAAAAACTGCATCAAAATCGGTTAAATAGTTTTAAAGATTTAAGCATACATGGGGATATCTACCTACAAGGAATAAGTATTTCTTTCTTTCTTCTTTAAAAAAAACATTGCCCCACACTAGGACTTTCTCCTGTGTCGTGGGTGCGGTTACAAACATACAATTTCACATACACAAATCTTATCCGATGGTTCATTTGAACAGATTCCTACATAGTCTTTAATACATTTGTTGCGACTATAGTATTATATGAGCTCAAACTTAACGTTTACTAGGAAACCAATCCGAAGTTCCATCAGCTTTCAATCACACCATCAGACTGTCGATTGTGCCATAATATTATTATGTCATCCAATATAGGTAAGCACAATTGGGTAGTTTCCTAGGTCAAAAATGAATTTTATTTAAGTACAATAAAATACTGAAATCTAAGTGTGCATGTCGAATTTGCAGTTTCATACAAACTTCATAGAAAAGTGTAGTTTTTAACATTTTGATAAAAGTATTAAATTTAACTAGGTACTTAGTTGAAAACTACCGGTGGTTCATGATGATGCAGAAATTAGTACATAGGTACCTACTTCTAATTCCTGCATCACATTGCTATCATCCCGCTTCTTAGATTTTATTACAGAATTCGTGACAGGACGACCTAATAAAAGCATGATAAATACCTACAGATATTATTTTTCTTCAACCCTTCCGTCCCGTGTATACTGACCATAGAAAACTTGGTAAAGAATAACAAGAACAGTTCAAAACTTTGTTAATTAAATCGTGTACAATTAATTAAGTATAGTTAAGTGGCCCAATTACTTAGAAACGTTTCGAACTAAAGTTTGCAAGTTATTAACTTGTAGGTAATTATGTATATAGTATAGGTACTTATTTACTTATCTATATATAAATAAGAAGCTTTTCTAATAATTAGCAACTTTACCGTGGAAAATATGTACCTACTATTCACATATTTTTGTAAAGGTAGGTAGGACCTACTGTGAGACATAATAAATTCACTACCGCATAAAACTATAAGAAAATTTACTATTGTAATGGGACCTGAGTGGGCTGTTATAGGTAATTGTATCCAGTAATAGGTATAGCAAAACGCCTAAACGTACGGAAATATGTTCTACATTAGACAAATTCACTAGCTCATATAACATATCACGACCATGCTACCAGCCCACTGCTGTTCATAAATAAGAGTCCCGCTACAACTTGAAACGAGTAGAGCTTTGCTCAGTTTATTTATAAGTCGTTATATTTAATAAAGCTTCATATAAGGACATGCTAAACTTATGTGGCAGATATTTTATATAAATAACGTTCTGTTTCCAAAATTATCTGGTAAGTGAAACAAGGTTTAAATTTAAAGTGAATCGCAACTTAAAAAAAACAAATCTGCTATATTTAAACATTTATTGAATGGATTACATAACAAATAGTATCAATTAATAATAATAACATAAGTATATAATTAATTTACAAATTTAGAACATAAATATAGAAAGAAATTGGCATCTTGGAGATCAGCGCTTTATCATATAGGTACAAAACTATATAGTTCTACCCTTTGTCAACAGATGGGGTAGGAATAGATAATGGACATTTTGCGCTCTGCATGTTACTTATATTAATTTAAACTTTAACGTTATTGAATTAAAGTCTTAAAGATGAACGTCAGAGTCGATTGTCCTTTAAGTATATTTGCGTTCCACCACGTAGAAAACAGCGCGTTTATTTGAAAGTTACATATGTATATCTCGGTTAAATTATTCACGTGATTCTATGTCTCTGAAATTAAAGAGTTTTCCATTAATATAAAATATATTTTATATGTCCTATCACTCTCGCAAATCAAGAGCCCAAATGAAAAAGAGATATAAGCCAAAAAACTAACTTATCCTTGGACCTCTTCTGAGCGATTTTGTAAATCCTGCGCAATTCCAATAGAGCTCTCATGATGACGACCAGCTGCTGCTCGAAGTCATCGGTCGCAACGTCGATAGATAAGCCTATTAATGTAATAAAGATAATTTTAGAAAGTTTAATGTCACAGCACATTTCAGCCACCAGGTAGTCTACGGGCGGACGCCGTGTTAACATCAATAAATGTTTCGCGGTCAACCAGTGGACCCCACGCTGTCATCGACTGAACGCCGAGTGGTGAACGAGTAACGAGTGGACGCCGCTTGGGTCAACGATTTTTGAATTATCTGTTTATAAATGGCACTAGGGCAGCCCGCGGTCTACTCGGGACCCGTTGTCACAGAGTTGTCACCGACTGGTCCACACGCCGGCCGAGACTAGGATGCTACAGAGTTGATGTAGTGAGCGCATGCCCATACAAAATCACATAAAGAATACTAGCTGCAGAAGGCGAGTGAGCATTATTATATGATAAAATATACATTTTGGTATAACATACCTTTTTGCTTACAGATTTTGACGTAAAGACTCCAAATGGCGGATCTAACGTGGCACAGTTCCACATGACGTCGCGCTGCAGTTTCTTTCAGCCGGTTCAAAGCCAGTTCCCATTTTAACACTCGATTCCGGATTTTGTCGTAGCGCCACTAAGGAGTTAGAGGAAAACGGTTTACGTTATATCAATTTTATCAATAAACCACAGACTATTAATATTGAGTTTGGTGCTGAAAGGTCTCTAAATCGGAATCAGAATTTAAAAAAAAAGATTCTCCTGGATGGACTAACAGCATCGTTAGAACCACAGGTTCGCTGATGGAAACAAATAGATCACATCAAGCTTAACATTGATGAATTACAAGATCCCCATCACGAGTAGTTGGTTGGTAATCAGCTGTTTAAAAAAAACAAAACCAGTTTATTCAGTAATACCCTGAGATCTGCAAGCGTGTTATTGAGTCCCATAATAAAGAGTTTCTTCTCTTCAGTAAGCGATGCGATCTCCTGCCGTGCGTTCTCTAACATCTCCAGATCTCGTTCTTGACGATCAGCCAGTGTTGATTTAGCTGCAGCTGTAAACAATAAACACGGAAACTTAAGTCTTTTGGACATGGAAAAACTTTGGACTACCAGTAACTACCGCGTAGTTGACGTAAAAATGTGTAGGTTTTCCACAAGATGTCCCAAAATGATGCCAAAAGTAATTGGTTGCTAAAATATAAACCTATGACTGAATGATGTAGACTTTAAAACAAGCAGTTAGGTAGGTACTTACCCAAAGCTTCGTAACGGTTTAGCACGTCCAGGGGTTGTTTAAACTCGGGATAATTGGACACCACCGACATGAGGTAGTCCTGGGGAGAAATAATCTAAGATTAAGATGATACGGTCAGATAAATGGTAGGTTTGCGGAAAAAGTTATAATTCTTTAGTTAATTTCTGCCTAACATCAAAGACGAAGACATGATTTTATGTGTATATGCAAATTGCATCAAGGATAGACGTAACACTTCGGTCGAGCAAACCCATTCGTGCCTCGTAACATGAAAATCTGTGTAATAAACACATTATGTCCAGCGACGAAAACTGGCTGATGATGACGATTGAAGGTACGCCATGCTGAAGCTGTAGTCATGCAGAACCTAAATATTTTTGGAAGACACAATAATGAAAGGAGGAGGAGGTTAAGATCCAAAGCAACGAGAGTCACGACGCGAGAAGGAGATCAAGGTAGGTAACGGAAACGGATGTATCTTTTTCGACACCGAATATACCAATTAAAAGTTCATCTTCATGATCTGACCTCGTAAATAGTGTAGTCCTTGACTTGCTTTTCCATCAGCTTCTTCACTTCTTCCATCTCAATAACTCTCTGCCTCATCGCTTCCGTCTCCTTTGTCTTGCGTTCTAACACCTCGTTGTCCGCTTGCATCTTACGTTCAGCTCGATCTCGTTTCTCTTGGTTCTCTCTTATAAACTGTATAAAGGGGATTATGAATTTTTGAAAATAAGTATCAACATATACCTACATTATATTCCTAAGTGTGTTTGAATAGAGGTCGAAATTAATTTGTAAGTTATATTGATTTTTGTCCATTCTATCTGAATTGACTCCAGAGATTGTGAATTAAGGTCAACAATTATTTTCGTCAATAGTTTGAAGGTTTTATATATCTTTTTTATATATTGTAGGAAGGACGTCAAACGAGTGGACGGATTGCCTGATGGTAAGCAATCGGCGCCGCCCATGGACTCCGGCAACGCCAAAGGAGTTTCGAGTGCGCTGCCAGCCTTCTAATGAAGGGTTTCGGATATTTAAGGATTGGGAAGGGATGGGAGATGGGGCAGGGATTGGGCCTTCGGTAACCTCACTCACACGGCAAAACATAACGGTGTGGTTGTTTTCTGTGAGGCCGTGGTATCACTCCGGTCGAGCCGACCCATTCATGCCGAAGCTTGTCTCTCCCACACTATCTACGTACAACATACGCCTAAATGTTAAGACATTCATTACTTTATTGAAACTGATAAAGGACTCCTTCAATAGATTTTCTTTTTTCCTCAAGTCTTCCCATTTTGCGTCCATGATAATTCTGTTTCGTTTCTCTTCTTCCCGTTTGAGCGCCAACTTGGTGTCGACCTCCATTAGATCTCGTCGCGCTTGCTCCATCAGAACTTGAGGAGTTGGCCGAGCGACGTCCCATACTGGATATTTTCTACAAACGTACAAGTAGTACTTTTAAAGAATTCCATAAAATTTAAGTAACCGTTATGAAAACGGGGGATCCGGCTTTTGCCTGGTAGTAAATTAAGAAGACTAAATGATGAATTAAGGTAAAATGAGTACCTACGTTCTGATTAAAATCATAAACTTAATGTAGGTACTTAATCTTTAATAGTAGCTTCTGACTTTCTGACGGGCGCGGCGTCCTTTTCGTCGTGGTGGCTAGGTGGTTAAAGCCCGCTTCTCATGTATGCGGGTTCGAAACCTGGCAAGTACCAATGTGACTTTTCCGAGTTATATGTACCTACATTCTATAATTATTTAGAAATCACTAAACTTACAATTTCTAAACAATAAGTTTGAAATCACAAATCCACCTTCTCCGTGTGAGCATAGCTCAGCAGTGGGCACTCATAGGCTGATAATGTGGCTTCTCCGCTTTACCTGGATTCATACTTAGTATCCTATACCTAGTTGTTCCGAAAGATCTATATCCCCTTTTTTTTCAAAATCAAAACGTGCATGATTCCACACTTACAATAAGTTTGTTTCACTTTACAACTTTTAACAGCACCGTTGGTGCGGTGGCTGGGTAACTGGCTGTCGTGCAACGTGTTGCGGGTTCGATTCCCGCAAGGAACAACTCTTTGTGTGATCCACAAACTGTTGTTCCGGGTCTGGGTGTCATGTGTATGTGAAATTGTATGTTTGTAACCGCACCCACGACACAGGAGAAAACTCTAATGTGGGGCACCGTTTAAAAAAAAAAACTTTCGCGTTGATACCATTAATTATCAGATATTTGTTCTAAGCGCTACATAATGCCTAATCTCAGCTTAGTAAGGTTTCAGTTAGATCTCCAACCACATGAACAGGGTAGGGCTACTCTACTCACTTGACCATTCTGGAGCTTTCCATCAAAGATTTAAAGTACTCCGCAGTAGATTCCACAGGTGGTCCATGTGGAATGGCAATGGGTGCCAAATCTTTAGTGCTGGTATTCATGATTTCTCAATATTATTATGATAAGTGCTAAATATTATTAATAAACACTTTATAAAATCAGAAAATTTTACTTCGTTGAAAATCACACGTGAATCACGTCAATATAGCTCGTTGCCTAGCAATTATCCTATATTTATTGTTTGCCTGGCAATCAACCTTTTAATTTATTGGGAACTGGAATTTTGGTAAATTCTACCAAAACTAAATATTTTTTGATAATGGCAATCCGTATGTCCAGTCAATACGTGTAAATTAAAAATTAAAAAAAAAGTCAATACGTGTATTTATAAAATTTATTTAATTTAAGACTGGTTATCTTTTTTTCTTGGTTTAAATTATATCATTTATTAGTATACTATATCTATGATTCATCCAACCATCCATCGTGACCTGTCATTGTCAAACATTTGTCAAACAAACGTGTCCCGAGTTGAACGTTCAGTGGTGTTGAGTTTTAGATTCTCGATAATTTGTAAAGTCTGATATTTTGATAAGCTTAACTAAGTTTAAGTAATATAAATTAAATAAAGGTGCAATCATTTCGTCCAAACAGAAAATGGAGTTCAATTTTTCGTTCCTTACCGGGTTAGGTTGCGGCATCTGCATCGGTATTTCATTGTTAGCTCTTAAAAGATATTTTGGAGCAGCTGCTGAAGTTACAAAAGCTGTGAAGAAGGTGAGAAATGTCTTGTTATTGCTTAGGCTAAGTAGAATTCTAAACATGTATTTATGTTTAGTTAATTGTAACCTCTTTATTAGTTTGTAAGACGGTGGATAATCTTTATATTTGTGCACGTATAAGTATAGTTTAGTAAGTAAATACGTTTGAATTTTCCTTTATTCATCAAACCCCAAGCGAATGTCAGCATTCGTGCACCTATCGTCTTACTATTGACTCTCATTCACATGTTTCATAGGATAAAATTAATATTTCATCAGCTCAAAGTCAGTCATTGGTAAAGGGGAATTACTTTAAAAATGTTAACTTTCGGCCCTAAACTATCAGTACTTAATCTTTTTTTATCTACAGAGATATTTTATTAGTAATCAATTTAATGTGACATTAGAACTGACTACTACCAAAAAAATGAACAGGACTATATTATGATTATTTTGTTACAGTTTGCATCAGACTCGGAATACAAACTGGTGCTAGTTGTAAGAACAGATCTCAACATGAGTAAAGGCAAGATTGCAGCTCAATGTAGTCACGCAGCTGTAGGTGCCTTTGAAAAAGCACAGAAGAAGGATCCAGAAGGATTGAAACATTGGCAATACACTGGCCAAGCCAAAGTAGCCCTTAAAACAGACTCCTTGGATGAAGTGAAACAGATTTGTGACAATGCTAAGAAAATGGGATTGATCACTTCTCTAATTAGGGATGCAGGCAGGACTCAGATTGCACCGAACTCCATCACAGTTCTCGGTGTGGGACCAGCCCCTAAAGATATTATTGACAAAGTGACAGGACATTTGAAATTATTGTAATTGTGAGACATTGTTGTGAAATTATATATGCCATTTGCACTTACATGGTCTTGTAAATATTGCATCTAATATTAAATTGAAATGATCTTAGAATTAGTTGGTCTCACTATTGAAACAATCAAAAGAAAAGGTTAGGACATAAAAGCTCAGGAATCAAATCAATTGAATGAATAGCCTGTTCTCTGGAAAAAATTACACATGTTTTCAAATCTTAATTTTATTCAACATTGTCTTATTTCTCATTTACCTATTCAATTATCTTTTAACTTGTGGTATACTGGTAAGTCTATATATAAGCAAGACATGATGCAGACCAAAGGTAAATTATGACAAAACTAGTGCATTCAATCATTGGAAAGTGTTTCCAAGACTTACAGTGAATAAAGTAAGGAACTATAAGCATTGTTTTTATTTTTGGTTTAAATTTGTACCAATCCTTTCCTTGTATTATCTCGACTCCCTAAATATGAAAAAATGCCACTGCTGAAAGAATGGTTGAGCATTAACTTTCGGGCCACCATGACAGTATTGATAGTCACAATCACAATTTTAAATAAAGAGGAAATAATACTAAGTTATAGAATGCTGAATAAAATGCACAAGTAGCTTTTTAAAGTCATTTATTCATCTTTGTATTTAATTCATTATTGTATTAAAGCCGCTAATTTAAAATGTATTAGGTGTACAACCATAATAAATTTTAAATTAAAAATTAAACTTAAAACTACTTATAAAAATTAAAAATAATTTGCATAGCTTATAATTAATAAAAATCTTTCATAATCCGTACAACATGTATTGTACCTACGTAACCACAGAGTATCATAGTGGAAAAATGTCTTATCCCTCTGTGGTTAAGCAAAAGGGAGGTTTATATACTATAATAGTATAGCACCTTCTTAGGATTGCACAGAAGTCAAACCACCAGTGCAATATCTCTTTCCTTTTCAAAACATTAACATTTTAACCATCTTTTAACAATCAAATAACAGGAAATATTTTAATTAAGTAATTTTTAATAGTACAAGTGTCTATTTTTTATTCCAAATAAGGCACTGGAAGACAATATTTTTACTGTATAATGTACTCATGATACTGGGATATTATAGCAACTTTTTTGAAAAACAGATCAACAATATCGAAGCCTGGGTTTCCATGCCCAACTTTTCAAATACATTTGTAAAAAAATATAATAATGTATTTATGTAATGTATACATGAGAATAAAAAACGAATTGGTATGAAAGCCTTATCCACTAGCTGTGACTAACATGATAATCTAAACACAAACATTAACTTCAAAATTAAGTAGAAAAATTAACAATAATCATTTTTTTTATTTTATAGTTTTTTAAAACTTAAACCTATATTTTACACAGTATAGTCCGCGACATAAATAAGTGTGCAATGTTAAAAAAAAGGTTGAAAGTTAAAATTTCCACATGTACAGTTGCTCAAATCATTTATGTCGTGGACTTCGAGAAAAAAAAAAACAATTAAAACGTTAAAATTTGTGTTAATTTTGTTGCGATACTATTAAGTCCACCACCAAATTGAAATAAAATATTATATCAGTCTTTTTTATAGCCAATGAATGTACTATTTTTATTTTATTACATTTTGTGGAGTATTTTGTGTTTAAATATTTATCATATACATAGTTGTGTATTTGTATGAGCATATTAATTGCATGAAAAGTTTATTTTCTTGTTTATTTGTATTGCTATGATTTGAGAGGATTGAAAAATTTTTGATAAGCAATATATGGTAAGTACCTAATATTGCTGTGTTGACATTTTCTATCATAATTGAAGATTATGTGAAACTATAAAGCATTTAAGGCATCATAATATTAATAACCAGAAGCTTCGTGATCAGTTGACACGATTTTATTCGGTGGGTAGCCAAATGGAGGTACAGTCAACGGCAAAAGTTTTCTGACATTAAGTAGATATTATCATTTGCAGAAACAGATGTTTAAAGAGATAATAAGCTTTTGTCGCGTATGTGTACCTATTAATTTTAATCTCATGGTTGGGGTAAAACTATAACTACATCTGAAGATGACATAACTGAGTCTCGAGCTAGAGTGTTGATGTCGTTAAGACACACTTTAACACAGATGGCGCAAATATTGAGTAGATTTTGTGTACTCGGTCGAAAGGTGAAGGTTTTCGAAATGTAATCTCATTGGTTGTATTATCTAACACTTGTCTTATAAATACGTCTAAAGGGGTGGGACTGAACTTTTGCTTATTCTTTGAGGTAACTTCAAAGTGCCAGTTTAAAAAGAACCCTGTTACTTTTAAATTCAGTGAGAGTTTTTGGTTACTTAAATTAATATTTTATTGGCCTCAACTACTAGGAGAAAACTCGTAATATTCTTTGAAACCTATAAAGGCAAAATAATATTGTCTTAAACTCAAATGCATGATCAAAATAATCAAAATGCGTTTGGCTACAATTATAGTACTCTCACTGCACGTCATGATTATATGAAATGTCAAAAAAAAATGGAAAACGAAAATACAAACATAATAATTATAAATCTAACTTAGATAACTAAATAAGAACAACTTACTACTATAACGTAAGGTACTAATTACTGTGACGGTGTTCTTGTATTTTCGATCTTCTGTATGGCGTCTTTAAGGTTGGCAATGCGTGGAGCGTACTGTGCTACGACCTCTGGTTCGTTCTTCTTCCGGCATTCGACTGCCAGCTCCATCATTTCCAGCATCATCTTGAGGCCACACACTACAGTTCGGGACCCGACGATTTCCAACTGTAACAAGTAAAATATTGTAGTCTACTGTACATACAAAATGTATGGAACATTATCACTAGTATAAAACAAAGTTCTCTGTACCCATGTATGCTTCAATCTTTAAAACTACACAACGGATTTTGATGAGGTTTTTCTTAATAGGTGAAGTGATTGAAAAGGAATGTTAATGAGTATGTATAATAACAGCCAATAAATAGCAGAGAAATTTCGTATCAGCATTAGGGAAAACAGTTAGTGAAAAATTATATACATAATAAAAAACTTACTGGAGGCAACTTGTAAACTTTGTCGTCAAACTCCATGAGGTTGTTTTCGATTTTTATCTTCTTAGTCTTGGGAGGGTCGATCCGGTTGGATGGGATACGTTTCTTGCCACTCTTGTAGACACCCTCAGCAGTCTCGTCCTTGAACATGTCGCGGCGGGGACAGGCACAGACCCTGGCACCTACTTTCTGACGACCATATACTTGTCCGCTGGAACAATTTGAGAATTAGATAAATAAATATTTTTGAATAGTAACTATAATGAGAAATACTCAATTTATTGAAAATAGCGGCGTGAATTAACTGAGACAAGCTCTACAAGTTTCAAGTCACAATGGGACTGTTATTTATGAGTACCGTGCGCGTCGCCGCAACGCGATTTTGAGCTTTTCTTAGTTAATTCAAGAATGAAATCTAACAAGCACAGCTTGACAAGTAATAATGGAAAATAAAAAAATAATGTGTAGTATGGCGACATAAAACTCCATACTACCATTTTATTTGAGCCTCAAGGACGGTGGTCTCACAATAGGCTACTGATATGACAATGCAAAAGAAATACATACGTCTTATCTTCCAAGGTGAATATGATGGCGATAGCTCGCCTATTGATGCCCGTAGTACAGGAGTTCTTGCAGGCGAACTGGTAAGCATGGCTGCAGGGCTCTGGTCCGGTCCTGTCAAATTGCACCAGCACGGAGTACCAGGAGTCAGCCATGTCTACATTCCCGCAGTAGTAAACGCCCTGGGTGCCGATATCTCGGGATGAGTGGAGAACGTTTTTGGCCATTTGCGTTTGGATACCTAAGATAAATAAAGGATTGTTACATCACACATAAGAAAAGAAAAAACCGTAAATATATAATTCTAGCGTTCTTCCACGACTTTGTCCACGTTGTGGATAAAAAGAAGCCTATCCAAATACAAATCGGTCGGTCGGTCGAGCGTCTATTTTCTGTTTCATCTGTTTTAATCTTTAACTGATGTTTATTTTACTTCTACTGTCACACTTTTATTGTTTTTTTATATGCTGCATCGTGCCTGGTGCTGAATAAATGTCTTTTCATTCTCTTTCAAAGTTACGAGTGCGTTTCCGGTTTTGTAGGGATAAGGAGGTCAGATATTTATCTGAAATTGGGAAGGGATGGGGAGGTGGAGGGATTGGACTTCCTGTAACCTCACTCATACGGCGTAACAACGCTTTGTGCGGAAGCTTGGCTCTCTCACACTTTTTTCGTAGGTACAAATAATATTTATTTCATATACTCACCAGCGGTAGCGCTCTCATGGTAGTGTTGCACACATCTCTCCACTCGTTTCTCAGCCTGAGTCTCGTCCGAGAACACAACTGTGGACCTCACGAACATTTGAGGAGCATTTATGTAGTCCCAGTTGAACTGGATGCTGAAGTTACACTTCCTGTCCACGTAGATACGGTTGAGGCGGTGGGAATACTAGGAACAAAAATAATAAACAATTATCGCTCTCAACAAAACTGATATTCTTCTGCAATAAAATGTATTGTATTATCAATATTGTTGTTCGTCTGTGCATGTAAATTTATATATATTCTAATACACATTACAGAAAATATCGGAACAAAAATTCAAAGATCTCAGTCACACAAAAATCCATTTGTGTGGAAACATGGTTCTCCAACAAGACAGATTGCGGTTTAAATTAAATAAAAAAAAACAATATTGTACGGAGAAAACAGTTGACTACACTTACAACTTCACAAAGTCCCTTATCATATGCCCAACAATGGATAGAATCTTAGAGCCGACTTTACGGACTTGTAAGCACAATATAGTATCACGGCCGACTTGGAGCAAGAGGATGGTGTGATTTTCTCCGTCACAAAGTCGACTAGCAGGGTCAATGTTTAACCGGGGTCGCGGGTCAAGCGCAATAAGGTCTTGCGTCCTCAGGCCCGAGCAGGAGAAGAAACGGCTGAGTTTTTACTCAACAAAAGTCTGATAGTCTCTCTCGTCATACCTGGGCGAGAGTAGACATTTAATAATTTACCCTTCTCAAAAAAAGGCGGGAGAAGTCATTCTAAGTTTTCCATCTCAAAATAAAAACAAAAACCGAATCTTAAGTACCTTATGTATTGTCATCACGTTTTTGGACATGAAAAACGTCACTATCAGAGGCCTTTGAAGGGAGGGCTAAAGGCTAAATCCACGTTACATTATTAATCGGTCAAAACACATTTTTCAAAATGATAATTCGAAAGAAATTATACAAAAACACATTTGGAATGAGACGGAGGTATGAATAAATACAACAATTATAATTATCTCTGATAAATGTTATCTCCAATGTGTTTCCCCGAGCAGTTAGCCATCCACCGATTACGTTGGACGACATTACATATAATGTTAATAAATAGTGTAATGTAATAGTAACATAAAACATTATTACATCACCTTACTAAGTAACCCCTTTGCTACTATTAAGACTTCGAAAAACCGAGTAAAACAAAATAATTTCTCTTTGGATCCTAACCCGAGGCATTTTTTGAGAAATTATTCATCAAATAACTTCTCCCTCCTTGGTGGGAGCGAGAGTTTCGGAGTCTCATAAACTAAAAAGAAAAAGCCGTTCCTTCTCTTGCTCTGATCCGGGCCGTGAGACGAACCCTGAATCTAGCGGGTACATCTATGGTAGGGCTAAATAACTTTGGGGCAACGCTTACAACAATAGTATTTTATAAACACAGCAGTTCAGTCTCTAGCTAATCTACCATTTCTTAATAGCTGTAAATAATATATAAAAGACTGGTTTTCGATTATAACTATACGATTTTCCAGTGGGAAAACCAATTGTTATCTATCCGACCCGAGGTCCTAACCTAGGCATAACTTAAATGAGAACAGATTACTTAATATAGGACGTAAAATGACCTTTTCAGCGCTACGATCGGGTATAAGCGACAAAGTGTACAAAATGACGTTTTCATGTCATCTATGGCTAATGCAGTTCTTGTTTCGAATCAGCTTTTTTTTCTGGTCCTGGTCGGGCGGCGAGCTACCCTTACTCGCCGTCCGTCCGCAGACCCGCGTGTTTGGAGTCAGCTAACTATGGCGTCTAAATTGTGTTTTCGGAAGAAGGATTATACCACCTTCCCATTTGAGTGTCTTATAATTTTTGGCTGACGTACCTAACGTATCTATGTGTGGTGCTTTCAGCATCCTTAACTATTTTTTATTGGGTAAAGCCCACCTCTCACAACGGCTGCAACTCTAATAAGGATTTCCCGTAGGTAAATACAACCATAAAAAACTGAAATACTGAAGTCAAGCGCAGTCCAGTCTTGGATCCCGCAACAAATTATCATCAGAAAATATTATTTAAGGAGAAGAAAAAACCTTGACTACTATCAATCAGAGATATTATTTGGGGTCCTAAAATACATATTATTAAAATTACCCCACACCGAGTGGATTTGCTAAAAAAACTAACTGATAGTCTGTTGGTACACATAATGTGATTCCCGAGTAAGATTTAGGAGCACAACTTATTAAGGTTAACAACTAGAAAACAACTAGAAACCTATTTCTAGTTGTTTAAAAATAATATTTAAAGGTTCTTCTATATCTATGGAACTTACCAAGAAGGTTTTCTTATGGACATCCTTGCTGTTGACCTCCAAAGTGAAGTTGAGGTCTCCAGCGTACGGAGTGCGCACTGGTGGACCTCGCGGAGAGAACTGAACAAAAGGAGACTACACATAAACACTTGTACACTTTACAAACATTTGTCCTGTAAACTGAAAGGAATAAAACTTTCATTATGTCGGAAGATCAAGTTTTCATTAATACCTAGTTGAGTTTTTTTATTGTATATAAGCTAGTGCTTGCTTGACTGCAATCACACCTGATGGTAAGCAGTAATGCAATCGTTGATGGTAAGGCGCACTACTTTATTAAGAGCCTATTCAGTCTAGCTTTGAATACACCTAAATCATAACATGTTTATTTTACAACTAATTATATTCAATACTTCTATCGAAATGTCAAAGAAGATACTTTTCTATGGATTTTGTATTAGATACATACTTGTAATGTAATCATGTGTGAAACCATTAAATAGCTCAAACATATCTCAAAAATCAACTGGAATAATCGAAAGAGAAAGATCGGAATACTAATCAATGAAAGAAATATGATTATTTTTAAATATTTCATTGTGATAAACAATTTTTGAATGAGGAAAATACGTAATTTCAAACTATTCTGACTGCACATTATAATGATTTATTTATTACTTATACTTAATCAAATTGGTAAAATGTTCATTCAAATCAAGTTAAGTATATAATAACTTTTTACTAGATCATCATCATCATCATCATCATCATCATTATACAGTATCTGCATAAACACTTATGTAACAAAATAACTTACAGGAAATTCAACTACAGGTTTTGAAGCAATGTCCATTGTCTCTGAGGCTGGGGACGGCAGGAAATTTGCTTGGTTAACAATATCACTGAAGTTTATAAACTCCATATTATCCATACTCCTGTAATAAAGAATAATTATTAATCACTAGCTACTCGCACGCGGTTTCAACCTCTGCACTACCCCTAAAGATCATGTTTTACAGCCTATAGGCTTCATCGATAAATGGACTAACAAACATAAAAAGAATGGTTCAATTCAAACCAGTAGTTCCGGAGATTAGGACGTTGAAACAAACCAACTCTTCAACTTTATAATATTAGTAAAGATAATAGTCGGATAGTTTCACTGCTATTTTTTCATGGTGAAAAATCATCTAGTGGCTTTTCGGGGTGGGGTGGGACGAGAGGAAATGTCAGACTCCTACTGACTAAAACCACCCCTTTTTTTCTCCTGTTCCAAGTCAGGACGCTGTAAATCATTACACTAAGACTCAAATCTAGCCTTACACCTATAACCCCGGCTTTCACCGACTCATTTGATAGTTTTGTTTGCTTTTTGGTTGAGTAATGAGCACATGGGATTCAGCTTGGTTTCACACCAAGTTTGGTGTTAAGTAATTTAAGTTGGTTTGCTTCGATATTGATACAATTATCTTTCCTTCTTTACATAACTTGCAAATATTAAGTATCTTCACCAAATCCCAAGCAAACGCCGGCGTTCGCTCACAATGTTGTCTTGCTATTGTGTCTCTAATAACCACAATTGACATGTAACATTGAATATGCCTCAATGCAATCAATGACCCTTCTTAAAACATATTATCTCTGTATGAATTGATACTTAGCACTTACATCATCAAATCCTGGTCATGGAAGTTTTGGTAATCCTCTACCGATTCTTCATATCCAATATCAGGATGCTCCATGATTATTCCTGAAACAACCAACCAGAGTCAATTTCTAAAGTTAAATTACTTTTTAAATGCATCATTATCGTGATCAGCCTTTAAGTGCCCACTGCTGAGCAAAGACCTCTTCTCACACAGAGAAGGTTTGAGCATTAATCATTACACTTGCTCAAGGCGGGTTGGCAATTTCAAACTTATAATTCGAAATTATAAATCCAGGTTTTCTTAAGATGTTTACCTCCACTGTATGTCAGTGGTGTCTAAATAATCAAACAAAGTACTTATAACTCGGAAAAAGTCACATTGGTACTAACTATGGGTCTATGCAAAGGATTAATTAAGCCCACCAATGTGACAACCAATAGACCAAAAACTTAAAATTATACAGTTACGTTAAAGTCAAAATTTCAAATCAAACTAAGAGTTTTTTATAAAGAAGAATAAAACAATCAATTGTTAGATAGACCATTAATTTAATTTTGCAGGTGATGTGAAGTATGGGAACAAAATGAACACATGAACACCGCAAATGTTTAATCTTATTTTGCCATACATACATATATTTCCTGCTTTTTTCACTATCAGATATAATTATCACAGTTACCCTTTAACTGTAAATTCAACATTTTTTTCAGTTATTCAGGAAATAAAATTAGTTTTCCCAATTATAACCAATGATGTCATTTCCTTTGGGTATTTCTATAAACCAGCTAAGTTGCTACTTAGGTAAGTGAGAATTTTCATTATTCATGTTTGACTTAATTACATATAGGTTAAAATATTACTGGTAATATTATAAAGAGGTAAAATCTGTAACTTTGTATACAAGGATAATCTTTGGAAATGCTAGTGAATTTCCAAAATTCCGCAACTAGTGGATAGTTAAAATGTTTCTGGGAGCTATAGATTATATTTTATTTGTGTACAGGAAGTAGTTCCCTACAGCTACAAGTAGTATTAGGCACATAAAGAAACAACTTCATTATTTGTTATTAATTCTACCAGAACACTATGATTTAATAAGTTTCTTCACTATTAGAGTATGTGTCACTATTTCAGGGAATGTTACTCAAACATGTAAGAAAACCCTGCCTTATGAGATTTTTTTTAAACTTAACTTACTTGAGAGATACCTTAAATTACACACAGACAAAACTAAAGGTAAATATGTATTTTTAAATTTTAAACATTGTTCATTGAAGATTTTTGCATGTAATTCTAAATAATCAGTGATATTTGTATACTTGTAACTGAACCGTAACTATTATTAGTATTGACATCATTATCATGTAATATCATTCCCTTATCACATGACCATCAGGTAAATAGCATCCTTATGACTTCAGCTGAAGTGCCATTTCTTTAAATATCAATTTAATCAGATAAAAAAATCTCATTGTTGTTGCTGGACTAGATAATACAATCAAAGATAATGAGGCTCCCCGCATTTCTTTCATTATTGCTAATAGAAAAATGGGCAAAATGAGGTCCAAATAGGATGGACTTCTTGTGGGCACTACCCGTGTAGGTAAATTATTTGTAAGAATTGTTTTACATCACAAAATTATTGTAAACTAAGAAAGTTTTACTCTGAATTATATTTGGAACATTTAAAAGTTTAATCTTATAAAAATGATAGCTGGTGCTGTTTGTAAGTCTCACTTAAATTCAGAAGTAGCTGGAATATCTTACTTATCTCTTAAAATTCATGAAAGATCAGCAGTGAAAAAACATTAAAAAATTGCATAGACTAAATACATAAAAAGTTAATAATCATCCCATTAACTACTCTATTAGTGATATTAGATATTTAAAAAGAAATTAGACTGTCAATTTAGATATTTTGAGGTGGTACCAAGTTAGCCAAATCATCTAATAGGTAATAATAATGTCTATCTATCTGTAGGCACCTCAGTCAAACTATATGTTTCTTCCAAAATGAAGTAATGACATTTATTTAATTTCTTCAACCTATAATAAAATAACTGATTGTCTGGTTGATTAACATATTCATTGCAAACATGGTCAATGTTGACCAATATTAGCAGAGAATTTGATTTTAATGGTTATCAAACACTTAAGTTGCTCGCTGTGAGTATGTCTAACTACAGAATGATATATACTGTTGGAAGAGATATTTACTAAATAATAAGTCTTCTCAAGACCACTAAATACCTTATCTAGCATCACACAGCAAGATTTAAAACCAGTAAACACTATGAACCTATTTAGTTTAGCGTATGGTATTATTGTATTTCCATCTGTTAAACTTTTATCCATGTTTTAATTGAGTTTCTTCAATTATATTGCTTTAAATTATTGTTCAAATCATATATCTATCGTTAATACGTTAGGTTGTCAAACTTACAATCATCAAGGAACTTGATTGTGTATTGTAACCTTTACAGACACTTTATATGTTTTAAACAAAAATGAAAACAATTAATATGTAGTAAAATGTATACCGTTTTGTATTTAAATTTAGTTTTAACATAGGTGACTATGATAAGCACAGAATGAGCTATAATTTTTATCGTAGATATGGTCGTTTATGTATTTTAGCTATGCCGAATTCTTTGCAACAGAAAACTTTGAAATTCGGACAAAAATACGAATTAAAGTATCTTATCGACATCTGAAAACTTAGTTAGGTCTTCTTCATAATTTGATAACTGTAATAACGTTTTACTGATTGCAGTTCATAAAAGTGCGAATAACAAACTTTTCAGCAAGAAATCGTGGTGAAATTTCTGAAAGGGATTAATACTTACCTCAAAATAAAAAACCACTTAAAAACTGTAAGAAAATATCACTTTGAATGTTTTGCTCAGGTTAAACACAATGCAACGCTACATTAAATTGAAAAAAGTTCAAAAACAACTTTAAAAACACAAAATGCGCGAGTGCACTCCATTAAACGCTGTTGGAAATAGTAGCACGGGCTGCCATAACATTTGATAATAATTTCTACTTTGCTAAATTAAAACCTAATAATTTAAAACCTTTTTAATTTTGGCTTTAATTAATCATTCAATCTTATTTGTAACTTATTTATGCAGTATGAAGGTAACACAAAATATGGCATTTTGAAATTAAAAGTATTTCGCGCATCATTTAAAAATAAACAGAACAGAAGGAATCGTGTTAAATGGCAATAATTTAAATTAAACTCATAAAATTTAATATTACCAGTAAAAAAATCATTTTTCCAATAGTAATTTTTGTTTAGTCGTTCCAAACCATACGTTAAAATTTGTTTGGATCTTAAGCATGTCAAATAAAAAATCTTACGTTTGTTTCTTTTATAGAATTTAGAAAATTTATTAATTTATCAGAAGTCGTTTGTTAAATTTTATGTTATAATATAAAATAACAATCAATACAGAAAAATCAAGATATTGTCTTACTTACTCATGAAAAGAAAAAAGACAAGTTGCCACAACAAAAAAATACGAAAGAATGAGAAAAAAAATACTCGAACTCCGCTTCACTTGTGTTTTTTTTCTAATTTTACTGTCATTAGGCCGATAATTTGATGCATATTTTGTATGCAACAGTTATTTTGACTCGTTAAAGTGTTCTATTATGTACCAAATCATTGCGGGGAATGCTCTAAGTGCGTCTATACACTAAAATCAATAACAATCATTGACCAACAAAGGTACGCTTGTGTTTGCTTTTGCTGGGCATATAACCTGTGTTTTGTGCTGGCGTCCGGTTGGCGTCCGTCACAATTAACGCGAGAATGTTTAATATGCGTTGTTTTGTTGCGATATTAATGTGGAAATGTGTTTTATTGTGAACGCGTATAGTGGTATTGTAAGAGGTTTTTGTTTTTAGTTACCAAGATGAATTATGAAGCCGAAAGAGCCATGAATCAGAAGCGATTACGAATGGAGGGCGAACCGGGCCACGGAGTTGTCCAGGGAAACGGTTTGCCGCTAAATTATATAGGTGAGTGAACTTTGAGCGCGAAACATTTACCTTCTTGGTTATATTTCGGAAGTATTGACATCGTTTTCATTATTATAGATAATGGTCACCAAATACCGTATCAACCGTATGCTGGTGCATACAACACTCACTATCCACCACCGGAGGCATTTTCGCCTTATGGACCGCCGCCGCCGGGGGGCTATGCCCCACAGAACCTGTCGTACGCGCCTCCTGCGCACCAAAACTACCCGCATCATCAGAGTTTCCCGCCACAACAGCCGCCTCAAGCTCAGCTACACATGCCGCAGTCCCATATGGGTAAGCATAATATTAGAATTTTCCATATTTTCTAAATAAATATAAATATAACCAAACATTCATATTGTAGTACAAAATAGATTTTGGGTCATTGGAAATAGAGACTATTTTTGTATGGTGATGAACTTTGACAGATTTTAAAGATTGTTGACATTTTTTTATCAATGGGTTGGTAGTAAAAGTTTTCCTCTGTTATGTTGAGTGTGTGTGTGAGTTAAAAATGTAACAAATATTGAACAACCTGTTTTCTCTCTGTTAATGTCTTACAACTTGAAGCTATACTAAGTAAATATCTTTTTATTTTTGTGATTATGTTGCTATGTGTTGTGAATTGACTGCAATGTGTTAGTTCAAGGTTATGGAGATGTGGGTGTGCACAAGCCAGCCTGGCCCCCCCAACCACACTTGTTACCACCACTGGACACCCAGAAGCCATTGGATGTAAAGCAGCTCAAGTCTGAGATCAAACTAGAACCAACAGATGCTCAGAAAAGACCACACCCTGAGAATGAGATGCTGGTAAGTACATTCAAATCAGAATTAGGGATTTTTGTAATTTAATTGTCTTGGTAGTTGTGTTTAATTGTAATATTTTTGAACCAGTTATTTTGATTCAGTATTAATAAATTATTACTATAATTTGTTTCCACTTAACTAATAATTAGTCTTTGCTTGTAAAATATTTTTATTCCATTTAATGTTTTGCTTACTAAACAACTCTCTTTGACAACCTTCATATACTGGAACTTTTTACCTATATCTCATTGTCTATGCTTTTCTTCTATTTGAAAATATAAACAATATGAATGATTGCAAGTCGAATTTTATTTTAAATTTCTATTCTGGTTTCACATTGACTGAATCGCTACCAAGTACCAGAAAATTTTGAATATGGAACATAATTTGTATGTACTATAAGGGCCATAGGGTGTGTAGTAACTGGTGCTTATTATAATCTACTTAGAACATGACATATAATAATATGTTTTAATCTGAATTTTTGATGAGCGGTAATAAAAGTTTCTTTTATTTAAATACATTTACATTGTTTATCTGGTTCTTGCTCAGTATAAGAACACAAAGAGTGGATGTTGTGCCCAGTATATGGCTATAGGCTAGTATACCTATAAATGGGGCCTTAGCTTAGAGGCTACTGCCAACGTCCATACCATGTTGAAAGCACCAGTTCTCGTCCGATCACCGAAGTTAAGCTACATCGGGCGCGGTTAGTACTTGGATGGGTGACCGCCTGGGAATACCGTGTGACATTAGCTTTTCTGAGTGGAAGCAGCGACTGTCGCAACCGAGGGCCGGGCACGCTACCATAGCAGAGGTAAGACCCCTCTTTGAGGAGTGGCTTGAGAGACGCCACGGCGTCCTCACCTTCCGCCTGACGCAGGTGCTTACCGGGCACGGCAGCTTCGGTAGGTTCCTGTTTCGGATCCAGCGGGAGGAAATGCCCGAGTGTCGTCATTGTGAGGACCACCTAGAGGATACGGTGGAGCATACGGTAGCGGTAGGCCCTGCCTGGGCTGAGCACCGCCGTGTCCTCAGGGAAGTGATCGGCGGCGGCGACCTCTCGCGCCCGGCCTTAGTCGAGGCCATGGTGCGGAGTGAGAGGAACTGGGACGCCGTCTTCTCATTTTGTGAAGCAGTCATGCTCGCAAAGAGAGAGGCGGCCCGCGTGAGGAAGCAATCCTCCTCCTCACGCCCCAGCCGCCGCAACTGGCGACACTACGGGCGTCGGGGATCAAGGGACGATCTCCGGCAGCTCGCCGCCCGACTAGAACCAGACCCGAGCGTACGGCGCTTAGCGTTCCGCGCGCGCCTCAAAGAGCCAATAGACCACCACAGACGGGGCTGTCACGGGCTGATGTTCAGCCGGGGTTGCGGGGTAAGCGCAATGAGGCACCGCGACCTCGGCTCAGAGCAGGAGAAAGAACAGGGGGGTTTTTAGTCAGTAAGAGTCTGACACTCCCTCCCGCCCTGCCCTGGGCGGGAGAAGTCAGTTGATGATTTTCCCCTCACAAAAAAAAAAAGCTTAGAGGCTACTGCAGGGATTGATCTTAGCCATCAGAACTAAAAGTGGCCCTATAAAAAAAAGATAAAAGACATCAACCATTGGTAACTAAGTGCGTATTTTATCATGGTGGAAAATATAATAAAAAAATATTTGCAATCATTCTTGTTGTTGTTGTTTAGATGTATGTTGTTGTACTATGTTGTTGTTGTATGTGTATGTGCTATAATAACGTGTGTTTGTATGTGTTCAATCTACAGGCGAGGCAGAGAGAGTTCAATGTCCACATACCCAGTACCTTGGTTAATATTTAAATATAATATTTTTTTTAGTTAATACATACAATGGAGCCTTTTTTATGTGTTACCATATTGAGAAAGTTTTCTAATTGGTAAAGTGGCTGCATATGAAAATGTGTAGTGATAGGTCTCAGGTTCGATTCCTGAGTCGGAGAAAGCATTTATCGAACGATTTTACTATGTTATCAATAATAAATTGTGAAAAGAAACAATAGTAGGTATAGTTATGGATGGAATATTAGCAACTATTTATTTACAACAAAGTCTAATTAGAAGAAAATCCTTCTACTTTTTCCAATTAACTTTCGTTGTTGAGTACATTTCAACAAAAGAACTTTGTGTTAAAATATCCATTGCGTTGATTGGAAAAGAGTTACTATGTAGTTTATTTGCTCGTTCGTGAATCTACACTTTAAAATGAGCAACTTGCTTCACTAGTGGACAGACTGACTGACACAAAGTGACACAATTTTTGTTTGATGTTCAAAAGTGCCTATAGCGAGACGAGTAGGCATTAATAGCATAGAATTTGATATTAATTTGATTTTGACTTTGACTAAAACAAAATAAAAGTAAGTACAAAATTATTTACAGTTTTCACAAGAACTTAAACATATTGAAATAAGGTTCATAATCAAACATCATTTAAAAATCCCAAGGTTTATAAATGAACAACATTTATAAATCCCAAATGCTTAGTTTGTCACGTAAAAAAGGTTCCACTGTTCTGAAAAATAGAGTTGAGTTTTGTTTGAACAAATTAATATTAATTTGTGGTGTGTTGTTCCAGGGTGGTGATCTAGATCAGCCTAAAATAAAGATAAAGACGGATATATTCAAGCCGGACGACTTAGCACACAGACAGGACAAGCCTATTGGTATGTCTTATTGATATTATATTCTACTAGCAGACCCTCCCCGAAAACCCAGCGAAATCGTTAGGGCCGTTTCTGAGATCACATGCTTTTTAAATCAGCGCCATCTGTTGGTCTAATTTGTGAAATTAAACCATCCAGAGCGCCACTCTAACGCATACAGAAAAATATTATTTAAGTTGGTCAAGCCATTTAGGAGGAGTTCAATGACAACAGAATTATAATTAATTCTGCTGTCTTTAATTTAGTTTATTAGCTTACATCGATTTATGTTATAACGTAATTGTAAATATTTATACAAACAAAATGACATCTTTTAGATATAAAGATATGCCAAGATTACTTTTACCGATAGACTATAGTCAATTACAATACTTTTACGCCCGGTTTCCGATAGCCCGATCAATGTTAAAATCAACTAACTAGGTGTCAACTCTCTTGTCAAGTCATCTGATTGGGTGTTGATAATTCAGTCAACCAATCAGATGACTTGACAAGAGATTAAATTGATTTTAACATTGATCGGCCTTTCGGAAACCGGGTGTTAGTATCGACATGTCAAATACTAAATTGTTCTATGAATTTGGTGTGAAAAACAGGCTTGTGAGGCCATCATATTTTTGCGTCAAACAGTATGTATTTACTTTTTTCTTAAAATATAACCCATAAAAATCTAATATTAAGTTTATTGTCAAACCAACCAATGAAATTCGATTACTTTGTAATATTTAATTCTGTTGATATTTTGAAAATATCAAATTTATCAATTCGAATAATAAGTTATTAATATTAATATAGATTTGTCTAATATAGTGTACCTTCTGTCAATTTCTTTGGAATGCAAGCAACCTCTGATCCTGATTAAAATGATTAATCTTCAACCTTTTTATAGATGTCGGTCAAAAGTCGTTGACTCTGGACGGATCACAGAAGCCTGCTGACTTGCAAAATAAAGGTAAGTCAATACCTTATGATCTTTGGAAAATAACTATACGTGGCGTAATTGAGAGAACCTCTACCTCTACTGGTTTTAAGTCAAAACGGGATTCTTATTCATGCGCGACGTCGCTGCGATGAAAATGAACATAAGCCCCGTTTTGACGTTACACTAGTATAGCTTTGCTCAACTAATTGACCAGAGTAAGTAGGTGGTTGAATAAATTTAGTTTGTCTCATGATAGTTACTAAAAAATATTTCTCGATTGTACTAATGCAAGGATGAGTGAATGTTTTACGAAATTTAAATACTTATTTGTTAAATGCATACATCATACATATTATCAGCCTTTAAGTGTCCACTGCTGAGCCTCTCTCAGAAAGGCCTCTTCTCGGTTCTCAGACGGAGAAGGTTTTAGTGTTAATCTCCACGCTTGCACAAGGCGGATTGGCGATTTCAAACCTATAATTAGAAATTATAAGTCTACTTCTCCTCACGATGTTTTCCTTCACTTAATGTGGTGAGCGCGTGTGTGGTGTCTAAATAATCATAGAAAGTACATATAACTCGGAAAAAGTCACATTGGTACTTACCAGGTTTCGAAACCGCACCGTCGTGCATGATAAGCGGGCTCTTTAAACTCCGAGATACCACGACATTGTTGAATGCATACTTTATGGTTACACCTAATATTTAAATCTTTTCAGATGATGGCCATCCAATCATTGGTGTTGAGAATAAGGCTATGGACAAACCAACCGGTAAGTAAACTTTTTCTTCTTTTCTGTGTTTTTTTACGTGATAGGCCGGCAAATGTGCAATTGGATTATCCGCCCATGAACACCCGCAACCACAGAAGAGTTACGAGTTTGTTGCCGACGTTTTGGGGATTTAGAATTTGGAGATTTAGGGGTTGGGGGAGGGGAAGGATTGGGCCTCCGGTAACCTCACTCACACGGCGAAATAATGCTGTGGTTGTTTCACGCCGGTTTTATGTGAGGCCGTGATATCACTCTGCTCGAGCTGACCCATTCGTGACGAAGCATGGCTCTTATAATACATACACTTATAGTGGGATAAATATTCGAGTTGACTTTTACTTCCATTCATATCTGTGTACTGTTATTATTTTGTAGAATCCTGCAAAGCTGAGGGTGCGGCTGAAGGCGGCGCTGGCGATTCACAAAGAGCCGCCGAACCAACCACTCTTAGTGACAAGAGGTAAGACTTAATATACTGTACTTCTTAAATATAAGATGCCAACAAGCGACAAGGTTTAAGGCGACTTTAACAAAAAAATGAATATGTAGAATATTTTGGTTGTTTCTTCAGAAACCATCGTGGATCTAAGTAGTTTGGTTTGTACAGGTCGAAAACAGGTAGGTAATTAACAATAAAAATCTAAGTGAATCTATAATATGGTCAGATGCTTTCAAAATTATCCAAATAATATAATGGACGAGAAATGTGTGTTAAACTGCCTCTTGCAGCATCTGGTATGGGCTGGAATCTTCAGTGACTTTTTTTTGTAAGGGGAAAATCGTCAATTGTCTTCTCCCGCCCTAATGTCAGATTTTTACTGACTAAAAACCCCCGCCCCGTTCCTTCCTGGTCTGGGTCGAGGCCGCGGTGCCTCATTGCGCTTACCCCGCAACCCCGGCTGGACATCAGCCATAGGGCTGATGGGAGGGCCCCGTCTATGGTGGTCTATTAGCTCTTTGAGGAGCGCGCGGAACGCTACGCGCCGTATGTTCGGGTCTGGTTCTGGTCGGGCGGCGAGCTACCCTTACTCGCCGCCTGCAGATCTGCGCTTTCGGTGGCCGGAGATTGTCTCTCGGTCTTCAGTAAGTTATTGCTCAAGGGTATAAGCCCCTAGGGTGGCTCGAAACTACTTGAGCCACACTGTCAAAAAGTTTTACGAGCAAGCCATCATACATAAGTAACTTGATATTTAATCTTTTCAGCGAGGAGGATCGAAAACCGTTCAGCAGTCCAGAGCTTCCGAAGTCAGGCTCCATACCAGGAAAAGTGCCGACTCCAGGCAGCGAGGTAAACTAGTTTTGGACTCATTTTATTTGATCTTACACATCATTCTCACCTGCTTACTCATAATCATCTCATTCTGTATGAAGGGTGTTCTGTTTCTCATTACATTTAGTATTGTGTTGTTTATAGCTTGGACTTTAATATGTAGGTAGGTTATTATTATTATTTTAATGTCATATACATTGTTCAATATGGCGTTGCTTAAGTTTTTACTTGCATGCAATTTAAAATCATCATATTATATGCCGTAAAACAATGATAACAGTCAGCTACAGTATAAGTCTTTCTTGTCTGCCTTTTTAAAAAAAAAAAGACAGTCAAGATTACGGATATCGATAGAAAATATGGTTCATTGTCTTTGAGTGTTGTAGATTTAGCATTATTGTAATCGTTAGACATATCATTTGTGTAACAAACAATCAGTAAGATCACCCACCGATCGCATAGTCACTGCACCCGTTAAATCTTGAGAATAAATCGTCACTGTGGCAGCCCAAGAAGAGGGGGCGACCGAAGGGGTCGACGAACAAGCCGAAGCCGCCGGGAGCTTCGCCCCGCGCCCCCGGGCCCGCGCTGCACGCGCCCCGCGCCCCCGTCCCGCGCCCCCTGCCGCCGCCGCCGCGCCCCCGTGCCACTGGCTACCAGTACGCCATCAGACCATTCAGGAAGGACTTCTCTGGAATACAGTTTAGAAGGTAATCTATATTCACTGCATTAAAAGACGCGTTTTTGGTTTTTCCTTATCAAATGCTACTAAAAATATTTTCTAAAAGAGAATAAAAGGATTCTCGAGTAGCAAAAATACATATTTGAGGTATTTACCTTTCTCCAATGCTATCAATCTTGAGTGAAATTCAAATTATGATATTGGAAATAGAAGCCGATGTGCATTTGGCACAGGTCTATGCAATCTTATATGAGTATTTTTGTTTCTAAGTTGTTGTCTTCATTCTTTCTAATATCTAATAGTGAGAGAATCATCCATCCTCATCTTGAATAAGCCCTAAAATATACACACGGCGTTGTGTTTCGCCGTGTGATTGAGATTACTGGAGGCACAATCCTTCTCCCCGCCAATCCCTAAATCTCCAAATCCCTAATCCCCAAAAGGTCGTAACTCCTATGTTACGGATGTCCACCGGCGGCGCTGATTGCTTACCATCAGGTAATCCGTCTCACATAAACAAGCACCATAATATATAACTGTACCACAGGCGATGGAGCGACGACTGCCTGGACTCGTCCCACATCCCGAACGAGGTGTACTTCGGCGACGTGCCGGTGTCCATGGAGGTGCTGTTCAACTACTACGACGCTAACGCCGAGCGCGAGAAGCTGGCGACGCAGGCCGCGCACATTGCCGCGCAGAAGGCCGCCGCCGCTAAACTCGCCGCCGCCAAGCTCCAGGCCAGGGGAATCATGCCCGCCTCCACTGAGGTAATATTATGATAACTATTTTATTTTTGTTATGACTAAGGCAGCGTACAAGAATAAACAAGTGGTCTCACATAAGGGTACAATAATGTTTACTTAATGTTATAATGAAATTGTAAAACAAGTATAATTTTTACAAAAAGTGAACTAAAAAGCAAAGCATAAATTTGCTTTGTACAAAGTAATACATATTTTAATTTAAAATAATATTTAATAACTATTTTATAATCTTGAAGTCTGTGCCCAGTAAATGCTACATACCAAGCAACAATAATATTAGAAAAATATTTTGTTGGGTACTAATCATCAAAAAGACGAATGTCTAAATAAAAAAAAGATATAAGTTCATTTGTTCATAAAATTAACCTTTGATTATATTGAAAATAGCTTTTTTATTAATATTATTAAAGAGCTACTAATATGTTTTCTGGTACTCCCCAGGTAACGACAGTAGACTCTTCATCATCAGACGACTCCTCAGGTTCCTCCGGCAGTGACTCTGAAGAGAGTGACGAAGTAAGTACTCACTACAATTAATTATATTACAACTTTTATAATTATTCCTCCCACTTATAAATTAACTAGGTGCCCGCGGCTAGCTACGCCCGCGTGGCATGTCGATAAAAAGAAGCCTAAGTCCTATTTCGGAGTGTATCCTATTTCTGTGCCAAATTTCATCCAGATCCGTCCTGCCGTTTTTGTGTAATTGAGTAACAAACATCCAAACGTCGTAACTTTTGCATTTATAATAGGTATTAGTAAGATGAAGCAATTTCACGACGTTTCTTTTTTGAGAACAGCTCCAAACTGTCTGATTATATTGTCTTGAGGTAATCTATTTTTAACCGACTTCAAAAAAGGAGGAGGTTCTCAATTCGACGCGTATTTTTTTTATAATTTGAATAAACCAAATAATAGAAGTAGATAACAAAAGAGTAACCATGGAGGTTCGTAATAGTTCTTCACCATAGAAATCTACACTTTAGAACAAGCAAAGCTTTACTGAACGACTGACTGAGATTATTGAAATTTTTTTTTAAGTCTCGGATCGTAAAGTCCAGTCTACCTAGGAATATTTTTCGACCGTCGAGTCAGTCATTTATTCATTAAACATCAAATTCGTAATTATATCATATCACGTCACATCCATCTTTTTGTGTTCAAACTGCAGTTTTATTTGTTTCCACTATTAATCTTTCTATATTTAGTAAACTCAGCTTATTGTAAATATTAATTTCCTTAGAGATTCTGTGCTATAAAACTGCAGTATGAAAATCATGACCATTATTGGCAGCAAATGTTTTCTATCCAGTACTTCAATGACTGAGTTTTGTCTAGGTGTTCAACCATATTACTTGATATAAAGTTGAAAGTTGATTAGTAAACGTAAGCACATTAGATTTAAAACATTTGTCGCATATTCATGTCACCATACGCACCATTCATAAATCATAATTAATCATACCGAATGAAATGATCGTCCATCACGAACAGGATACGCCACTGAAGCGCGGACCAGGAAGGCCGAAGGGTTCTAAGAACAGTCCGAGAGCTCCCGGGACCCCCGCCGCGGGCGGCACGGGGTCCACACCCACCACACCGGGGACCGGGCGACGAGGCCGGCCCCCTGTACCCCCAGAACTGCGCCAACCTGGCATCACAGACATGAAGAAGTTCTGCAAAGCTGCTGGAATACGGTTCGACTACAAGAAGCTTGTTGAAGGTGAGTTCTGAAATATTCTACACACAAAATGTCATAAAAGCATAACTCAGTATTGTATTTTTTATTAATTCAAACACAAGTTCCTTGGTTCCATTGGAAACTGAAAAAAATATAAAGCTTGATGCTATAATTTTGTCGATGAGGTCTTCTAAACAATCTCATTTCAAATGCTTGATCACAAAACAAGATAATAATAGATGTGATTAAACAAACTGAATCATCTATATTTCATTAAAATTACAAAATAGTAGTATATTTTTTATGTCATTACAGGTTGTACGAAAAACAAAGAGCGTGTCCAGAAGATGCTGGACTTGCTGATCGCGGCTGGGTTGGAAGGTAAACCCACGCTGGAGAAGTGCCAAGCGCTGAAAAAAGCAAAGATCGAGAAGAAAGAACAGGAGAAACAAGCAAAGAAGGAGGCTAAAGTTAAGCACAAAGAAGTTGTTTGTGAGTATATATTCTTGTATATACGTTATCACAACACACCCTATGTTAAAAAAAATTAAACCATTTTGTCTGTATTTAAAATACATCGGTCATTATAACAAAAGTTTTGGCCCCTTTAGTGAATTTAGTATATTCTCAAGTGTGAACTACATGGTAGGATAGGTCGTTTTGTGATATTTTTGCGCTTTATGTAAGTTGGTAGTTGGCTGTATACTATTCCCTTTGCAATATAATTCAATTTCAAAGTTTAATCAGCCAGATCTTAAGTAAAATAAGTTACCCGTCACAATGAACTTCTTAATAATCAACTGCTGATATATTTGAACAGTTATAGTCTAATAATCATACTTTATGTTACAGCGGAAAAGGAAGGTGGGGTATCAAGGCGGATGACGCGCGGCGCGACAGGTGTGAAGCCACGCCAGCGTATCGTGATCTCTTCAGACGAGGAGGACGACACGCCCGCCGCACGACGAACCCTCTCCAAACTGCGCTCCTCGCTCAATGACGACTCTGACTCTGACTAGGTAATTATATTATAAAAAAAGTTTTAAATTTTGCTTCACTGACTACGACGGTAAGTGAGTGCTTATTGTAGGTATGAAACATTGGCTTCCAGAATCTCGAATATGCGGAAAATTTTGAAATTGAAAACCTTTTGACAATAATTGAAAAGAATATATTCTAACAATTCTTTTGTTATTTGTTCCAGGTAAAACTGAATTTCCCTGCCTGGTAAGAGTACGCAATAGACAGTACAATCGATACAATACTTGTAGCGGGCAGTGAAACAAGTGACCTCTAGAAAGTGCTTCGACGGAGGTCCGGCTTGTAAGGTAGCCGTAGTCGGTATGCGTTACTTCCTACTAAAGTTAGTGTTTGCGTCGGAATTAGTATGTGGTGGTAGTTGACAAAAATGGCGGCGCGACGGGACGGGTGACTGAAGAAATGAACGAAAGATGAACATTAATCTACTTAGTTACAATACTTGGTCATTTCCCTAGAAAGTTCTATGGATATATACAAGGAAGAGATACTTTACAGTACTTCTAAGACAATATTATAAAATTCCTTTATGTAATGAAGCATTCGTTCTCATGAACCGCGTCGTCAATATAATCCTGTTTCTAGTTAGCAATCAATACACAAGTTTGTGCAATGAAAGAGTAGCCAATATTAAGTACCGGTCAATGAACAGACAGCTGAATAGTTTATGGTGACTAGAGGTAGAGTAGCGATAGATTACATGATAAAGATTTGCAAATATTCTAAGAGGAATCTTTAATTTCGTTGGGTAATTGTGATACATCTTGTATCCTTTGAGTATGGGCCTAAGTGACTACGATATCATATTTTTGTATAACAATTATCTACACATTTACTGAATTAGATAATGCGAGTTAGTTCCAAACATGTTCAATGTCTTGGCTAAAGACTCCGGTTGGACTCGAAACTTGTAGAGCATTTCGTAACTCGTAATACAACCGAATATGGTAAATGGACATGATCTAATGAGGTTATATATGTAGTTGTCTTTTTCTATATATCCTTATAATTTTCACTTATTTTTCCCTGTTGATTTCTGTTATATCGGTTTCTATAATATTATATTCTGTAGAATGTAACTTTTTATCAATACTTAACTCGAAGTTTTTAAAGAAACTTCTTAGAATATGGTTTTTCATCAAAGCTTAATAACGGTTTCAAAATTTTGGATATTTTATTCGACTGACTCGAGAAAGAAGAAAAACTAAAACAGCTTTGGGATTTAAATATTGGTTTCCGTTTTCTATTCCTTTAAATAGGATTGGAGTAGACATATTATACTACTTACTGTTTCTTTTATTATTATTGTCGATTAGACAGTCCACTGATTTCGTTATTCCATTTGACAGCCAATCACACCTTATTTTAATCTTACGAGTGATAATTACAAGTCAGTGGACACTTTCCTTAAACATGTTTCCTATGTTGATTAAAATGGCGATAAATCACAACATTTCGATCTCTCGAAAAACAACTGCGATGTAGAAACACTAGTCATAAATCATATCGAAATTATAAAAAAGACATGTCGGCGTAATTTGTATTTTTTAATCTGGCAGCTTTATTTATTTAGAAAAAAATTAAACTGTCAAAGGAAAGGATCGGTTTTGCAGAATTGTGTTTGATAGGGAAGGAGGTCCCGTAGTGAAATATGAATATATTTGTAGGACTAAAACCCCTCGCCTACTATAAGTAGTTGTAGTGAAGCTTAGGCACTCAATATTGTTCATTTGTGCCTATAATAACTATTAAAAAAAGTCTATATATAATTCTATGTGTGTGAGTCTTACGTAAAGTAAAAATTTCGTCATTTAATAGCAGATTGCGTTGTATTTTGATTGGAGTCAAATTTTATACTCTAGTTTATATTATATATAAAAAAAGTAATTATAATTATTGATATCAATAAATTGGTAACACCAAGACGTTTATTAAATTTAGATGTTGTATATATTAAAGAAAAAAATACATAATATTGTGTGTCCTGCGTTATTTTTGTACAGGTTTGTGACAAGGATAGTATGATGGCTTTGTATATATGCGAGCTGATGAGTGAGGGAGAGGTCACAGAGGTGCGATCGTAGCAAGCCGGGGTTCGTTGTCATTGTGTTTAATAATTGCGCATTATCATTCATTTAGAGGGAAACAGTGTTGCCAGATTACCAATTTCTGATCAAGTACACTATCATTTGCAAAGTTTTTTTTATTAAGTGAGCTCTTGGTTTTTTAATGTGATTTAGTAAATGGTTATTCCTTTAATACTGACAGCTATGAGCTAGGAGATAAACTTAGCCGAAGAACGAATTTATATTTTTTATTTATTATTTTATTATCGGATTTAAGAATCTCAGAACGCAACGGCGGACGTAGGATGGTATTTGTGTTCATTCAGACGTAGTATATGCAAAATTAATAGATATTCATAATACCATGTATAGCGTATCGGTGTCCTTTTATATATATTTATATTATATATAAAAAATAGATGAATAATTTAGCAGATTGATGTTAGAATCGTTTATATTAAATCGCCTTAATTGGACACCAATAATAATGCAATACTTTTTTATATTTAAAATATTAAGTGATTTTGAGAGAACATTTTTGGGTGCGACCATCGCGTTTTCTTTCTTATAATTTTATAAGCGTGGCGATGTAGCCTAGGTGTGACGCTGGCGTTCAAACGTTTAAATAGTATTTTTAAAACAATAACGTTGCTTATAAAATTTGGAAAGTGAGTGAAAAGAATGATGTCGTGTCGAAGTATCACAATATCATTAAAGATATATGAGTTGTACATATTAGTAAGTAGCTATAGATATAAGTTTTACTATAACGTTTAAGATGTAATAGATATTTGTATTTGTAAGATATATTTAGATGTGTTTCTTTTACCATTAAACATATAATTGATGGCCACGTTAATTAGGCTTTATTTTTTATTATATTATATTAAAGTAATCGTTGACTTCCGCCTTTATTATCATAATAATAAAGTTTTTGAGAGACTGTCTTATATATTATTATTAGAAGTCAAACTTTACATACTTTTTGTCGCATTTATGTGTAGTTTTCGTGTGTATGTCGGATCGTTTTCTTCGCTGTTACTGTCATGTGGTTCTTAAAGTTTTTGATACGAAACATAATAACTAAAATGTCGTTGAATGCACACAAACCTATGTAATGAAAGTTCTCAATACCTAAATAAAATTAATGGTATAATGATCGTCCTATTAAAGCGACTACGATGATGTAAAATTTACATAGAATATTTTTCATTAGATTCCTGTATCAGTTCTAAATGGTGCTTTTTACTTGGCAGTTGCAGCGTGATTGATTTTGTAAAGTGTTGGTCACATCACCCGCGAACGAGTGAATTGAGTAAAAAAATCTTTCCTTTTTATATACATACATTGAAGTTGTAACAGAATAAATACAAGTTCTTTTTATTCACAGATTATAAATAGAATCTTTTACTGCCAGATTCCTGTCGTCAGAATTTATCTTGTAATTGAAGTTTGAAAGGAGAAGATCTACTGTTCTCTAGTTTTCTCACTCGTTCGCTAGATGGCATGACTTATGCTTTTAGTCCACACAGATCTAAGTTGACGCTTGAAATTGATTGAAATTTGTATGGATGTAAGCAGTTGAAGATTACAATGTTTTAAACCTCAAAACACCTATACTGAACTCTATACGTTATAAAAATAAGGTTTGTATTAACTTAACAATATTTTTATCACAAATATGTATATCAGGTGGAAATAATTATACTTTAGCAGGGGCTGAGGTTTAGAACAGTTGAGTATAGTTCCATTATTAAATAAAAAAGTTAGCTCTAACAGTTTTTGCGTCAGGCAAATTGTATAGTGTTCACACTGTGTTGTCACATCAGAACTTTTCATATTATTTTATTGGAGATTGTGTTTAAGACATTCGCTATCTCATCCACTTGAACACATTTTTATACGCGCATACGATTTCAACTATGAGAATATTATTTCAAACATGCGAACTTTGACTTTCTTGAAAGTCAATATATGGGGTTGATATAAGCTTTGTTACAATTTGTCTTATTGCAAATTCATTGATGTTTACAATTTCTTGTATTCGTCTGCCATTTTAGAAAACACCAAGAAACAACTCAAGAAGTCCTCAAGTGCCCTTACCGGACCAAGTGGTACTTTAGGGCTATGGGTGACTATGGGCGCCATTTGCTTACCATCAGGTTCTTTGCTTCCCTATTCCATAAAAACCTCTTTGGATATTAGCACTATCTAAAAAAAATCTTTATAATCTTAATTTTCCTCAATCATTCTCTATTGTGACAATACAGTGAACACGTGCCTTATAATTGCGGCCTATTTAGCGCGGCCGTATTATATTAGTCACTTATATATAAAACTATATTATATTTAGTATAAGAACATGCTTCGCCGACACATAATTTTTATTTATAACTAATAATTTCCTCGCCAACAAATGAGGCATAGATTTTTTATTTACTCATATTTTTTAAAGTATTTTGTGCACAAATGTTGACGATGAAGATGAGAAGTTTTGATGATGTGATGATTACTCAATGTTTATGTAAATTGAAAATATACGCACAGTGCAGCAATAATGTCGTTTTTGTGGACAAAATACTTGCAATTATTATCATTGTTATAGTTTTTTTTATTATGATATACGTGATTGGTTTTTTTATTAAACTGTATTACCACAACAAACAGCCTAATTCAAATGTTAACAGAATGCTTTTTTTGAACAACGTTACGTTATTAAGAAGATACGCTCCGATTGGGTAGTTTCCTAGGTCAACAATAATTTATTCGACGTTATAATACAGTAAAAAAATAAAAATTGCTATACTTTTATTCATTGATCTGTCGATACACTAAATTTTCGATTAATTTTAGATTATTTTTAAGAAATAACTAAGCTATTTTACGCATAAAATAATGCTTTGACGTCTTAATTTGGAGTTTCATACAATTTTCACAGAAAAGTATAGTTTTTGACTTTTGGATAAAATATTGAATTTGACCAGTTTGAAACTACCCTATTTTTTATGCGTACATTTTTAATACCAGTAACGAACGACATAATATTTGTTCTCGCTGCAAGGCGCCACTGTCGTGTAAGGTCGTGTCAACTATAAGCAATAAATATTTTACTTATTAAAAAACGTCTGTGTTTGACCTTACTCGACGTTAGTGCCTCTCAAGCTGCTGGCTGAATGTCTACTAAGCTGGATAAAAATTGTTCTGCTAACATTAGAAGTTCATAACTCCCTAATCAATATAAAAACATCCGGAAACTGAATGAGAACAACGTTTTAGTTCGTTACTCTTTTTAGTATTCATTGAAGGGATGTTAATATGTGGCTGTAACCTTAAAGGATACGTTTTCAAAATACTTTTTATCTATACAATTTACTACAGCTATATTTAAATCTAGTATATTCCGTTCCCA